CCTATTTTATTAAATAAACAAGAACCACATACAAATAAACTTGTGGTCACATCTTGTTGCATAGCAACGTCGAGATGCACTCATTTGATTTTAAGATGCCATAATAAACAATAAAATATTTATGGATCAGAATAGTCGCATGAGCTTTAATATATCGGCTGTTGCGAACGTAGAATGGACACTTGAAAATCTTCAACTATAATAACATTTACGCAATATAATTTACACACTAGTACTCATCAATTAAAGCAGACACTCTAATTCTTTCCTTCCTTTTTCTCTTCGGAATTAGTTTGTTCAGAACTGCTGCTTCCACTAGCGTTACTTTCGCGTTCCGCCGACATCTATAAAATATTAGACGTTGTTAGTGTGCGTGTACCGATATAAATTATATAAATATATAACTACCTTTTTGTAAGCCATCTCAAAAAGTTTCAGAGACGATTGCTGCAATTGACTTGTGGCTTTTCGAACTTCATCTGGTTCAGCGGTGTCCTTGTTGGCCAAAAGAGTGCGCAAATCTGCGATTTCTTTTTTAAGTTTTTCACACTGAAAGGCAAGTTAAAAAGTTTAGAGCGTGCATATTCCTAAAAATTCACGAGGAACTTTACCTCTTCAGCTGGCAATTGGCTCTTGAATTCTTCCATTTTGGTTTCTGTGTCATGAACAATGCTCTCGCCTTGGTTTACTAATTCAATTAGTTCACGTTTCTTTTTGTCAGAAGCAGCATACTCTTCAGCCTTTTTAATCATATTTTCAATTTCGTCCTTACTTAAACCACCGCCGGATTGGATGACGATTTGTTGCTCTTTACCGGTACCCTTGTCTTTGGCCGATACATGAACAATGCCATTAGCATCAATGTCGAACACCACCTCGATTTGGGGTACACCACGCGGTGCGGGTGGAATGCCTACCAATGTGAACGAACCAAGCAATTTGTTATCAGCTGCCATTTCGCGCTCGCCTTGATGCACCTTGATTTCCACTTGCGTCTGACCATCAGCAGCCGTAGAGAATACTTGAGATTTCTTAGTAGGGATTGTCGTATTACGTGATATTAATCGGGTAAATACTCCACCCAATGTTTCAATGCCCAGGGATAAAGGCGTAACGTCGAGCAATAAAACATCGGTTACATCTCCAGCAAGTACTCCACCTTGCACTGCAGCGCCTACGGCTACAGCTTCATCAGGATTGACAGCACGTGATGGTTGTCTTCCGAACAAGTCTTGTACTGTTTGTTGAACCTTAGGCATTCTCGTCATTCCACCGACCAAAAGAACTTCCCCGATTTCTGTCTTGGATACCTCAGCGTCTGAGAGGGCCTTTTGACAGGGCTGAATTGTACGCTTTATTAAATCACCCACCAGACTTTCAAGCTTAGCACGACTCATTTTTAAATTCATATGTTGTGGTCCGGAAGCATCCATGGTTAGGTAAGGCAAATTAATATCCGTCTGTTGTGAAGAGGATAATTCACATTTAGCCTTCTCAGCTGCTTCCTTTAAGCGTTGCATAGCTATGTTATCCTTAGTAATATCGATACCGGTATCCTTTTTAAATTCAGCAACCAAGTAGTTAACAATTGTATTATCAAAATCTTCACCACCAAGAAGAGTATCGCCGTTAGTTGATTTTACTTCAAATACTCCTTTCTGGATTTCTAGGATCGATATATCGAAAGTACCACCACCTAAATCATAAACGGCAATACTGAAAATAATAAGAACGTTAAATTTATATATAAATACAAAAACTTCTTTAATTATTACATTTTGTCATCGGTCTTGTCCATTCCATAGGCCAATGCCGCAGCAGTAGGTTCGTTGATAACACGTAACACATTTAACCCAGCAATTTGACCAGCATCTTTAGTGGCTTGACGTTGCGAATCATTGAAATAGGCGGGTACAGTAACGACGGCGTTTTTCACAGGTGTATTGAGATATGCTTCAGCAGTTTCTTTCATTTTCATCAAAATAAAAGCTCCAATTTGAGAAGGAGAGTATACCTTGCCATCAGTGGAGGAGACCCAAGCGTCGCCGTTCGATGCCTTTACTACTTTGTAAGACAAATTTTTCAAATCTTTTTTAATTTCAGGATCATCAAAGCGACGTCCAATCAAACGCTTAGTCGCATAAAAGGTGTTAGCAGAATTTGTAACCGCCTGGCGTTTCGCTGGCATACCAACCAAACGTTCACCGTCCTTTGAAAAGGCAACATGAGAGGGTGTAGTACGTGCGCCCTCAGCATTTTCAATAACCTTTGCTTGTTTACCTTCCATTACAGCTACGCAAGAATTTGTAGTACCCAAATCTATACCGATGACTGCTCCTTTAACTTCGCCAGATCTAAAAAAAAAAAAAAAATATATATATATAAAAAATGCGTTAGATTTATATATGCACATACAAAATGTATACATACATATGTATATATATGTATTTTTTTATCATCATCAAAAGTGGAAAAATATTACTATGTATTGAATATATAATCAAAATTCAATTATCTGGTATATTGATTTGATGCTGGAAAAACAAAAAATAGCGGAAACATTTTCAGTTAAGATAACTATTTCGTAACAAAAACCTGTTAAAATTAATTTAAATGATAATTAAAATTGCTATTAAAGGAGTCCATCGTTACACTCTAGAAAAATGTTACTCTGGAATCAATATTTAAATAATTTAATCTTCCGCAAAGAAAAAATAAATTATCCGCATTTGTTAAAACATTCGTAACAAAGTAAATAGTTACATAAATAATTATTGATATTGCGGTAGTCTTAATTAACCGAATGTAAATCATTAATATCATGGTTTGTAAATCTTGTGAGTGTTCTTGCTACAGTATATATAAATGAGATAGTGAGATCGTACCGCAATTTAATTTACATATGTATATCCGTAGATAGGTAGCGTAATTAATTACATACATAAATCTTATTTTATTCTGGTACGTGGATCAAATAGTCCTAGCAACAATCAAGACACGTGATCTTATCATGTTGAAATATTTTACTTTTTTCAAGGGTAAGCATTTTTGTAAAATACGGAAATAACAAATTGATACAAATTCTAAATACAAATAACAGCCATACAGTTGCCATTACAGTATGCCGCATCGAACTAATTGGTAGTACTAAATATGCGAGAATGTTATTTAATTGAAATGCAGACATAATTTAAAAAGTTTCAACAAATAATACATATATATATAAATTAAAATTTCAGCGGCGTTTATCAATGTATAATTGATTTATCAATAAAATTGTTTAATGTATTGTACATATATGTATTTGCATAACTCAACTAACAAGACGTATTTTGTAAATGAACGGAAATACCCTTATTTCCAAAATTTATTGCAAGTCAAAAAATATATAATTTCATACTGTAAATAAGTTATATTTTTTATGGGTAAATGTATAGTTTAAGTCCCCCAACTAACTAGGAGACCTCAAAATTTTTTTTTTTTTTAATCGTCTTATTTTGACGCGAATATTACAAATCCGTAAGCGGAAAGTGGATTTTTTCAATAAATTATGTATATATTTACAAATATATTTAAGGCACTTTGCACATATTTTTCAAGTAACTTAGTTGTTGTTGTGGTTGTAACGGCAAAATGCTGCAGAATTCAGATCACTTAGCTGTAATTACCAGTTCAGCGTCATTTTCTTGTAAAAAAAAAAAAAATACTGAAGAAATGTAACGGTCACAATTTCTTTTGCGCCGCGATCTGATGGTATGGACGAATATCGCAGATCGTCGAACTCCTTTCCGCACTGGCGGCAAAATAACCCTGGTCGGTCCAAAACCGGGGTGTTCATAATTCAATCGCGTCAAACTCCTTTATGTACTGGTGGCCTTCGGCCGCACTTCGAAAAAATAACCCTGATCGGTCCAACACCGGTGTGTTTATAGTTATTTTTCACCGAGCTCCTTTCAGCAGCGGAAAAAATAAAAGAATTAATTTTAATGTATCACAATTTTTTTATTTTTAATGCATATGTATTAAAAAAAACGTTTTTTTTTTTTTTTTTAAATAGAAATGTTGAAAAAATTCACTTTCCGGTCACGGATTTTTAATATTCGTGTTAAAATAAGACGATTTAAAAAAAGAAATTATTTTTGAGGTCTCCTTAGTTGGGGGACCTAAACTATACATTAACCTTTTTATGTTATCACTTATTCATAAATAATAGCTTTACTAAACCATGGAAAGCATGACGCAATTCCTTCTAGAATGATTAAACAACTACTTTCTCCTAATAATCTTTAATACGTAATATATACTACATTTTGAAGAATTTCTTTAAGACGATAATTTTTTCTTGTCTAATTAAAAAAAAAAAAAAAAAAAAAAAGGAACAATATCGGATAAATTATTTTACGAAATCGTATTGTACACTTACTTATGGCGAAGTTGCGTAGCGACTCCATTATCCACCACCAGAGTGTTCTGAAATGTATGCAAGATAACATAATTAATTAAACATATGAGTAATAAATGATATATAAATTCCTCACGCAATTCGTTGGTGATACATTATTATGTAAAATGCCGGAAAACAATATGGAACAAAGCTCACACTACCATGAAAAGTCTTTAACTTACCTTAGACAAGATTTTTCCATAATCAGCAGCCGTGAAACGCTGTCCAATCAGTCGTGGCACGAACTTTGATATTCTCAACATTTTCTAATAGTTTTAAACCGAAATTAAGTTCTTTCAGCAGTTTCTCGATTTTAGAAAATTTCTCGAACTTCACAATCGCGTGTGAATCAGAAAAAGAACATTTACACGTTTTTTACTTTTCAACGAATATTAATTGGAATCACAGATTGACTAAAATGTTCGGAATTCTTACAGTTTTCATATACTAATAAGAAGTGCAGAGTGTTTGCTAAATTCTAAACAAAAGTAATTTTTGAATCATCATAATTCTTTGGATTATATAAAAGTGTCTGATATAAAATATATGTATAATATTTTATAAAATAATTAATTTAAGAGAAGTAGGAAGTTTGTGCACTGTACTGGAAATGTTTATCTATCTATGTTCTACTTGTATTAAAGTAAGTTTTATTTAATTTACGATAACAGAAATAAAGATGTAAAATTTAAAATTTTACATAAATTACTTTGAGCACTCTGTACTGGTCCATATTTTGAGACGGAATTCATTACATAACTTTGGACCCATGATTATCACCCGTTTTGTTTCTCTATTGACATTCCAAATTGAAGCACAACGAATTATCTCTGCGTAAGTATATTATATTGGCAGTAAGGGTTGTTACGAAAAAGTTTTATAGGTTATATGCATTATAATGGTTTTTGATTCGGCCTAAATTCAAAATTAGAATTAAAAAAAAAATAATACTGCACAGTGATTATTTAAATATTTTCTTAAATTACAATGTCAGTTGACGCAGAGACTGACAATGAGCTGGAAGAGAATTACTACACGTTTTTAAATCTTCCACGAGACGTAAGTCCCAAGTTGTTTAACAAGTAATCAGCTGGTTATCCTATGAGCCGGTATTTATGAATAATGTTTTATTTTAAAGGCGACGGGTGAACAAATAAATGCCGCTTACAGGAAGTTGAGCCGAATTTATCATCCCGATAAACATGTAGAAGTTGAAAGTAAACAAAAAGCAGAACAGTTGTTTAATAGGACAAAACGAGCCTATGAGGTATTGTCAGATCCTCATAAACGAGCTATATATGACTGCGTTGGCCAAAAAGGCTTGCAAACTGTTGGATGGGAGTTAGTACATCGCACTAAAACTCCTGCGGAGATACGGGAAGAGTACGAACGATTAGCACAAGCGGCTGAGGAACGAAAGCTACAACTGCGCACTAATCCTCGTGGTAATATTACAGTTAATGTTAATGCCACCGAGATATTTACTCCATACGATGAGACGCAGCTTCCCCGGATTGAAGTTTCTTCGATGAGTATTTCACAATCGATTGAAGCACCCATAAACCGCAAAGACACACTTACGCTTGGCGGTAACCTATATTCATCCAATGGTAATGGAAACGGAAACTTCATTCTCTGCGGACGAAGATTAGTTAATAAGGGCTGGTTGGAAATAGATGTTGGTGCTGGAAATGGCCCCCTTTTAGGATTTAAAGGTTTGTTTGTAATTGCTTTGTTTTTTCTTACATTGATAACACTAAAATTTTATGTAAACCAGGTGGACGAACCCTCTCCTCGGTTGTAACGGTGAATGGGGGTACATCAATGAATTTTCGTGATGGTCGTGTCATTCCTGCTGTATTCTCAACCTTGGCAGTACAGTTAGACAAACATACAATGGGTTCCTTAACTCTCAACGTAAGCAATCAATCTTCAATGACTACGCAAATTGATAGCAGCACTGAAAAACACGCTTGGACCACATCCTTTGTAATTGGTTTCCCTCATATATACTTGAGTGCGGCATATACGCGAAAAATGATAGAAAACGAGCTTAAGCTTAAATTAGCTGCAAAGTAAGTATAGTTTAAATTCTCGTGGTGACTATTTAAAAGCATTATTCAAAAAGGTAAAGTTCTTTATTGTCGAAGGCTGACCTTTGAAAAATCGAGGAATATACATTCTTAACCCAATACTTCCACCATTTAAGAGGTGTTTTGAATTTGTATGAAATAAGGAAAATATTGTTATGGAAATAAGAACCTGTGAGAAAAGGACAGGTGCAAAATTTCAGATCGATAGCTTAAAAACTGAGGGACTAGTTTCTATATATACAGACAGACGGACAGACAGACAGACGGACATGGCTAAATCAACTCAGCTCATAATGCTGATCATTTATATATATATTTTATAGGGTCTCCGACGTTTCCTTCTGGGTGTTACAAACTTCGTGGCAAACTTAATATACCCTGTTCAGGGTATAATAATACACTGTAAGTCGTTGGAACTCGATATGCCCGTACTATTAGTAGAACAACTATGTATATGTTGTTTTTATTTTTAGTAGGTACTTCAAGTAATTTTCAGCTGTATGATATATGTATATTTGCCTTTGAAAGGTTTCTAAAACCATATTTGTTATATATGACTTGAAAATAATTTTGACACAATTTTCACTGAACATTTTTCAGATTGGGAACGTTTGGTTTTCTAGCAGAATATGGGGCTGAGAAAAAGATATCCAAATATAGTTCCGTGTTTGCAGCTGTGTCGCTGGGTATTCCATCTGGAGTAATGCTTAAATTTAAGTATGTACACATACAACACATACGTACATATATAAGTTTGATAACCTAATAAATGATACCTATATGAATTTAGAATAGTGCGCTCCAATCAATCATATATATTTCCAATACACTTGAGCGAAGAGATTGTTCCTGCCGCTGTATTTTATGCAACAGTTACGCCAGTATTGCTGTGGTTCTTTGTAAAAAAGTCTATACTGGATCCCATGCGCTTAGAGCAAAAAAATGCTGAAATCGAGAAAGCGAAACGAAGTAACCAACAACGATTGACTAGACAGCGGCAAGAGGCACGCTCCGCTATCGAGCTAATGCAGCATACCTACGAGCGCATAGTTTCGGAAGAAAGCAGTAGAGGGGGCCTAATAATAACGAGTGCTACTTATGGGCAACTGGAAGATAGTAGTGGCCACTTTCAAGACAACGCTTCGGTTGATGTAACCATACCCATACAGTGCCTTGTAAAGGATGGTACATTAATTTTATATCAATCGTCGAAGGTAACTATATATTGTTGATATTGTGATTTATTTGTGAAAATGCGTAATTTTTTTTTTTTCAGAGTGAATTGCCGGGATTTTACGATCCATGTATTGGTGAAGACAAAATTCTAAAAATCGAGTACATGTTCAGAAATCAAACCAACGTTGCTATAATTAACGACATGGATTCAGTAAGACTTCCTCTAAGTAGCAATAACTGATACAAATCTATTAAAATATGTATAAATTGTTATACTTCTTTGTACATTTCGCACGATTTGGAAAAAATGTGATTTTTATAAAGAAAAAAATTAAATATAATATAAAAAAATTTGTTGTTAAGCGACGTACAACTTAAAATAACTTACACTATTTTCAGGAAGCAAATATGAAACAAATTAAAGACAAGCATTTACTTTGCCTAGTAACCCTTTTATATGTGAATGTCGTTTAGCATTGAGCCGCATTACCATTCATTAAAAAATTAACTGCATATAGAGTGTTTGAATAAATTAAATATAATAATAATGGGCAAAAACTAATAAACGTTCGCTTGTTCGTATGTATGTACATATGTACATATGTACGTACATACAAAATTTTGTACTAAAAATTGAGCTTTATCACATGTCATGGACAAGGAAGTGGTGCTCTGTGCAATAGTGATATAGAAAGCTATTTCTATGTTAATACATATATTGAAAATTCTTGAATGAGATTTCAATTCGAAAAAATAATTCTCAGCTGAATTATTGTCGAACTTAAAATTTTTTGTGGCATTACGGTTTGCCCCATTGTGCCAGTGACCAAAATATCAAAAAACTATAACCTACTTGGTAGCATTCATACACTTCATTTATAGGCATATGTTTGTACTATGTGGCAATTTATTCCGTTAAAATATTATCAGAAAATAGGAAACGGATAAATAAACTATTTAAAATAATTTTAAATGATTTTTAATCAGTTATTTTGTACAAATATTTAGAAAAAATAATTGAAAATCTTGTTCAGCTCGTAGAAAAAAATTCCGAAATGACCGACATATGCGGCATAAAGACTGCTAAAATAACTAAAATCATTGTATGTAGTGGTAGCTGTGGTAATTCGTTGACCGTTTTCAGCATTAAACTATAATATATTCACTTAATTTTGCTGCAATATCTTACAAATTGCACGATTTATGCTGTATAAGGGCAACCAGAAGTTTGAATTCTTATATTGGGTATATGAGGTAGAATTTACCCGATTTATCCATTTTAGGCATGAGAATATGTTGTAGACAGACGCTAATTTAATTTCTTTAAAATATCTCACATATTGGGCGGTATATACGGTATAAAGCCAACTGGAGGTTCAGAAATGTTTATATTAGGTATTGACCCGATTATATCCATTTTTGAGTATTAAAAGAAAAAGATTCTTTGAATTTCATCAGATAGACGTCTTGGATTTTATTAGTTTTCAATATAACCGTTATATAGAATATATAGAAAAGGGAGGGATTACAACTTGATTTCACATATATTATATTTAGATAGATAGATAATGATTGAGGTATGCACCGCGACCTATGGTCTATTGTGCCCTCCCATAAGTCACAGCGACTCATCTAGCCCTAGCATATTGATGAACTCCAATATACTGCTAGGTGCTAGTGAGGCGATGCGATCCCTGTTTGGAAACATGGATCCCAGGGCCTTAACTCTACGTCTGCAGACTGGAGATTGATTACGGTTTTAAACCGTCTGAGGTTATAACCCCCCATTAGCAACTTGGCATGGCGCATGCCTTGGAGATGTTGCCAATGTCTCTCCCTGCCTGCTCTTTCCTCTTTACGGAGCAGCTCTTTAATGGTATGTGGACCAACCGCTACGCACGGTTCTGGTCCTACCATGTTTGTAGAGGCTGCAGAGCGGGCCAACTCGTCAGCAAGTTCATTTCCTGCTATACCCCTGTGAGCAGGCACCCAGATGAGGTGCACTCTATTGAGACTTGATAGGATATTCAGCCGTTCTATACACTCCTACACTAGTAGCGATTTGACCTCAAAAGCCGAGATCGCTTTAAGTGCTGCCTGACTATCGCTGAGTATGGCGATGCTCTTATTGCGATAGTCGCGTTGGAGGCTTATCTCTACACACCGACTTATAGCATATACTTCCGCCTGTAATATGCTAGGAATGGTCCTGGGACCCCTGCGCCAATCCTGGGACGAGATTACCTTCCCTTTGCCAAACCCTTTTGCTGACATTTGAAGCAAGGTCGGTTTGGCCGTCTGCTCGATCACTGTATGTAACGGTGTTAGCTCCAACATTACTTCCAGTGCTGCAGTCGGACACGTACGCATCGCGCCCGACGCGCAGATGCAGGCAAGTCGTTGCAGCCTCGATAGTCGAAGTCCTGCCGAGGTTTGCGATCAGTCCCACAATCATGGTGCACAACCATCTGATAATCCTTGGGTTGCAGCCCCATGATTTCCCAGCAAGTCGATTGCAAACCATGAGCGCTTTCGTAGCTTTGGCTACGGCCAGGTCCACATGCTGCTTCCACCGAAGAGTGGAGTCCAGCGTGAGTCCCAGGTACTTTACCGTGCTGGCCATCTCCAGCTCCGTACCACCTAGGGAAAGGTTTCTGAGGCCTGGCAGCAACCTGCGTCTGGTAAACGGTATGATTGTAGTTTTGGAGGGGTTGATGTTTAGGCCAACCCCACTACACCATTCCTTTGCCAGCCTCAATCCCCTTTGTACAATATCGCAGAGAGTGTCTGCGAATTTACCCCTAGCTAATATAACAATATCGTCCGCATATCCCTGACAGCGGATTCCGTTGATAGTTAGCAGATCGAGAAGATCGTCGATCGGAGACTTATATTTTTCGAAGGAGGCCACAGCCCACTTGATGGAGTCCGCAGTGAAGAGCTGTTTTGCGGCTGTCCAATCTAAGCGAGTTGGCTTTCGTTCGACACTGGGTCGAATTGGGTCTTCTCGAATTGTCTCCGGGAAATGCTTACGTAGAAGGGCCGTGGCTCTTTCCTCCGCGCTGGACGTATAGGTCCCATCCGGTCTTTTAATTGCTAGTACTGTGTCGATCTTGCCCCTAGCCAGAGCCTTATGCAGCCTTGCAGCCTCTGGCGTTGAGAAGACGCTTTCACAGAACTTCCTGAAGCTCTTCTGCTTTGCTGACCTAATCTCCTTGTTGTAAGCAGTTAGGCCGCACCTATAGTTCTTCCAGTTTCCGGTACGCTTAGCCCTGTTAAATAGCTTGCGTACCGTTTTCCTTAGGTCTGAGAGCCTACTTGGCCACCAGGGACAGCTGCGGTTCTTGGTGGTCGTCTTTAGGGGGCTGCTACTGTTATATGCCTCTATAATGGACTGATTTAGCGCAGACAATCTGCTCTCCAGTCCAGAAGCAGTGGCACTGCCGTCCAGCTGCCCCCTCCTATTGAGATTTATTTCAAGCGTATCCCTAAAGGTGGCCCAGTCCGTGTTATTGGGGATACGCCTGGGAGGGAGTTGCCTGACCTCTACCCCTAGTGCGAATTTTATGTTGCGGTGATCCGACATGGAGAGTGTCATCGGAACCCTGCAGCCCTGTCATGAGTTCATTACCAAGCGTGATGTCAAGCACCTCCCTTCTTACACTGGTTATAAAGGTGGGTTCGCACCCCACGTTTACAATGCTTAGATTCCTACTTACTATAAATTCAAGTAAAGACTCACCCCGTGTATTGCAGTTTGTGCTGTCCCATTCCGTGTGATGGGCGTTGGCGTCGCATCCCATTACATTTTGCCTGCACAGTGACCAGGTCTTGTGTTAGGAACTCTGAAATACAGAAGAAATCAATATCGTTCCTAATTGCTAAACAGGTTCTGGGTATCTCACTTGAGAGATCCCAGATTACCTTATTATTCACCATTTTGAGGCCCCTGACCTCTCCTTTGCAGACCCATGGCTCCTGGATCAGTAGAATGCCCAGACCATCCGCTGTGAATCTGCTCGCGATGACGGCCGAGGCCGACGCCGCGTGGTGCAGGTTCACCTGGGCAATTTCTATTTGTGGACCCACTATAGGATCGGTTCCATGAGGAGCTCCTCATCTTCGCCGTCCTCCGCGTTACCACCCGCTAGGTCCTTAAGCCCCTCGAGTAGCTCTTGCGTGGAGGGTAGCGCCCCCCCCTTGTTCGCCAGGCTTTTCCGTAGGGACCTTCACCATGGTTTCAGCAGTTGCCGCCTGCTCCGATGTGCTGGTGCCGGGATGAGTCGCAACCTCATCTACTAGCATCTTCTCCCCTGTTTCACTTTGGGTGGCCGTCTTAGGCTTAAATGGCCTCAGGACCACCGAGCTGAATCTATAATTCAGTCGGAAACTCGTTCTCCCTTACCTGCACCGGCGCTAGTTTTGTTGGCCTTGTCCTTGTCCGTTTGCTGTTGTTGTTGCCTTTTTGTGTCCGTTGTTGTGTTTTTTCTTGTTTTTTATTTATTTAGGTCTATCTTTTTCTTACGACCGTAGGCTCGACATGGCGAGCCGTCCGGTCAACGTTTTATGAGGGGAACGCAAAAGTCCACCGCGCCAGAGCCCCATGACACGGTAAGGCCACCGTTACTTCCCAATGCGGCCCGGTATTGGGAAGGCTCCGTTAGAATACAGCCGAATTTACCTCCTGGCTGCAAATCATCCAATGGGCACGGGAGTCGCGTAACACCCTGGATTAGGAGGTGATATTATATTTACGGGTAATAATTTATTTTCGAAAGATCTTGAGTTCTAAGATTTTCCAATGTATAAAAGTGGTAGTTGCTTGTTTCCCAGAGCATTGTCTATAAAACGTCACCACTAACAGTTATATACTTGTATATGGTTACGACGTTGAGTTATAAAAGATTTGTTGAAGGACTACTTCATTCTAGGAAATACACTTCGTTTAAGGAACTTGCGTTCTGATTTCGATAGTACAAAGGATTGAATGTACCTCGACCAGTGGTCTATTTTGCCCTCTTCTTTTTCACACGGACTTACATGGGCTCAACACTCTGATGAATTCCTTGATCTTGCTAGGTTCCATTGAGTAAAATGCTCTCTATTTGGAAGCCAAGGGCCTTATTTCAGCGTCTGTAGATCGCTACGCAATCTAGAAGGACGTTCTTCGGAGTTTCCGAGTGCTGACTCCCGGCTCTACCCATGTTGAAAGGGTGCTTCTTTAGCCTGCACAAACCAGTGTAGAATGCCACTAGTGGTCGGAATTTGAATATGGTGAGGTTTATAATTTGTTTGAGCCTTGTAATGTTTAACCTCCCATTTGCAGCTTTGTCTGGTGCATGCCTATATCTTGATGCCCATATTTTTCTGTGACTATTCTCTCCTATCCTAATGGAACGGCTCCTTTAAGGTGTGGAGACCCGCCACGATACCGGGTTTCGGTCTAGAAGTCTCTGTAGAACAGGAAAGTTCGTCAGCAGTTCGTTCCCGGTTACCACCTCTTTTCCCGGTAACCAGATAAGGTCAGTCTGCAACCGATACTGATAGGATGTTCAGCCGTTCTATGCACTTCTACGCCAATAGCGATTGCGATAGTTTAGATGGAGGTTTATTGAAGTGAAACTTTTAATGGGAGTTCGGAAAAGGTTGCGTTAAACGCGCAGTGGTTAGGGTGTGTGACGCATCGACTAGTGAGCAAAGAGAAAGAAAGACAGAGAGAGCACAGCAACTGTTGATGGCTAAGTGAGTGAAGCACATACATACATATATACAAATCACACACATTCATACAAAATTATCAAGCGCACAGAGAACTTAACGATAATTTCTACGATAAGTTCTTCTAAGTTCCCTGGTTCAACCGCGTTTAGCGCAGCAGAGCAAGAAATTCCGAATCCCCACTCAAATTGTTGTTCTGCTATTCTATTAATATCTTGTTACTGTGTAATTCTCAGCTACTTTAAACAAGTTGTAGTTCAAGATACTGCTTGTGTGCTGAACAAAGCACACTTACCTGATGTAGAGGAAGAGGGCGTGTTCATTGCATTTCGGCTGTGTTGAACTTCAGTATTATTCCTAATGCCAATAACTCGTGGTCGTAAATTATTAATTATATTAAATAATACAATTTATGTGGTTGAGTGCAATATTTCAAGAAAAACCTGAAAGTATTAATTAACAAACGCAAAATTCATATTCGTACACCCCTAATTGAAACATATAGCATTGGCGTAAATTAAAATTAGTATTTAGTAGGATATCCCTTTTTAAAGTGGACAAATTGTACCTGATCCAAAGACATACACTATGAATTTTGCTCTTAAAATATCAATGTATTTCTTAGCATTTATAACTCCGATGAGGACAAGTTTTACCGCTCCAGCTGCAGCAAAACATCTGCAGAACATGACGGAAGCTTCACCGTGTTTAAATGTGTGCAAAAGGTTTTCCTGTGATAAAGACGTTTATTTTTCTCGCGCCATATTTTCACCTCTCCATCACTGTATTTAATATTAAATCTTGATTCAACTGTGAATCACGTCTCCAGAATCAAAAATTTTTATTTTAGTACATTCTGGCAAATTTTCGTTGCACTTATATAAGGTTTTCTTGCAGCAGATCTGCTACTTATACTTGAAGTGAAACCTTTTCTTAATTTGATAATTCATACGAAATATTTCGGAGTGTAATAATAGTGTGTGTTGATTTTGTGATTTGAATATAATAAAAATGAGAGAAAATGAGGCGTGTTTAAATTTACAATTTCGCGGAAAACATATTTTCATGCTCCACAATAACAATAATAAGTTGCCTCAAAGATAAGAAGAACTAATCGGCAAAAAGATTATGCCAGTGAATAGGCATGTCTTTCTCCTTAAGGTATGAAGATTACTCTTACAATTCCCCACGGTTCAAGGATATGCGGCAGCGGCAGGCTCTCTCATCAGCCTGGAAAGGTGTGGCAATATTGACAAAAGTTAGAGAGTATCAATAAAGATCTTCACGTAGAGGAAGGAACACTTCCAGCTTCGGAGCAAGTTCCATAAGCCAGGGGGCAGTTTTCCCGTTCTTACAGAGACAGGGTAGTCACACTTCTACAAATCCCCTCCTTGATGGTGTCCTGTATCGCGATGAGTTCCGACCCTAATGTCTTTGCCGGATAGTTGAGAAGCAGCGCTACAATCCGTATGTCTTTTAGAGCATTAGGTACACAGTGTTGCCCCTGTCACCCCTGGCTTTCTTCTTCTTTTTTGCCTTTGGACTATTGCGCTATGAGGCGCTGTCCCTTCGCTACCTTAGCCACCTTCCCCTAGGCCGATCTTATCTGGTCCGCAATTGTTATGGTTGTATTGTAGTTTGCTGTCTATTCTATTTTTAACAATCTTCGGCTGACCGAGATAAGCTGGCATGTATCGAGTTTTTGGGGAAAACGTAAAGGTTCACCGCTCCAGAATCCCATGACTACAAGGCCATGGCGTTCTGGTGTTGGGAAGGCCCCGTTCGGGTACAGCGGAATTTACTTCTTGGATGCAAATCATCCATTGGACGCTGGAGTCGTATTACACCCTAGATAAAGAGGTAGCAACTTTTGATCATCGTATACACGCGGCCACTTGCACCCTGTCTAAGAAGTAAATGAGTGCATACAAGATAATTAAAAAGTGTAATATTGTTATTATGTAATAAGTAAGTTTATTGTACCGGGAGGATTTGCGAAACTCTTGTGTTTTCATTAATGAAAACGTAGTAAAATACAAGAGTCGACTAGATTATCTAATTTGAACCCGACAATTTTGTCCAGAGCCGTCACGTCAAGAGTTTTTAACTTTCTTGGAATCTTTCTTTGCATCCGTAAAAAAATTTGGAATTTACCGAAAAAAAGATATTTGCGAAAACCGCTCAAAACTCGAGATCATGAAGGTGTTGATACTAATAAATGCGCAGAATACTGAAATGTTTTTATTGTGTCACTCTGTATACGATTGTCTATTCTAAGTTGCAAAATGTGGCATCACTGATTATTTGCTATAAAATTGCACAAATAAAGTAAAGTGTTAGTAAAATAAACTTAAGTTACGATTTATTTAAGCTACACTGGATGTTCTAATGGAGATTTCTAAGTTTGTATTATTATTCAATGAAATCTGTCTTCTACAAAATATCAGGACAGCCGCATAATTGTAATCACGACCAGCGGCAATGGCGCTCTTCACCAAAGCTAATGGTGTGAGAGCTATGCTGAGTCTGGTCGGGATATGGGTGTTGTTTAGCGCGTTCCTGAGCTATGTAGATAATAAATCTGCAAGTTACTCTACGTTCAGTAGACTAAGGTAATTTGTTTCGCTAATATATATATATTTTTTTAATTTAAGCAGTTTTCTTCTGTATATCTTCAGCATTCGGCATATGCATAACTTTACAAGGGGAATTACAATTGCGAATAAATCTTTAAGTGGTAATAACTCTAAAGAACACGATACTTTAAATACGACTAACCTAACAGTACTCCCTCTTGATTCCGAGGCTCAGAAGCCTATTATATTATTGGACTCACAAAATGTTTCCAGTGAATATAACCAAACGAATAATAACAGGTTGGTCAGACCATTGCATTCTACCAAAAGAGAAAACGGAGCTACAGTGAGAGTAAGATGTAAGGAACCACAATATGATGAAAGTGAGTTTTATTTTAATATATCCTGGAAAATGTACTTGACCATATTACAATTCTTTTTATACGCTTGGTCTAATATATTTCTATTAATTTCATAAGTCTTAATACTATTTGTTTATATGTTATTTGTTTTTTATTTTATAATTCGCTTTGATCGGGCTTCCTATATTTTTATCAGTTTTGACGTTTACGGGATTACATTTTTATGTTCTAAAGTACACTTTGATTAAGGATATTTGAAATAAAAAGCAAAACGAAATATTTTTTAAGAAAGAAAACAATAGTGTGTATGTCAGCAGAGATATTATATATGTATGTTATTAAGAGCTAGCACCTCCTCGCACTTAAGAAATAAACTTTATATTTTCCAAATATTTATTCCAATAAAAGGCGTGTTTTGAGAGATAACCATGATTCAATTATATTTATAATATACCGTTCCCATAACGGTCGGGTCTACGTAACCGGAACAGACCCGGATATTTTCCGGCCAAGGACTGTCAATTCGGCAAAATTCTGCAGCTACAACAACAACAACCACATATAATTATATAAGGTTGTGTCGATACGGAACGACTATTTTTTTTTGTTCTCTCATGATTTTTCTGGTTACATTTTAATGAGTTTGTGTGATTTACAATGTATTTGTATTCACATGTATGTTATCACTCGAAAATCGAATTTTCATTAGTTGAAATCTTTGAAAAAATTATTTTTGAATCATAAAATCAAAACAATACAAAGCAAAATTGCTGAATGTGACATTATGGATCCAAATACTTTCGACTGTTTTTGGTCTATCGACACAACCTTATATAATTGAATCATGGTGATAACTGAATACGAAGAGAATTATGGATCAAACTAATTTTTTTTTGACCTCAGTATTGACATTTTATTGATTTGTAATTTCATCTATCGATGAAAAAATCCCAAATTAAAATATTAATTAGTTATAATATTGACTATAATGTACCAAACATACATATGTTATAGATGCATTATTGCAGCCTGATTGTTTTTTGAAAATCTTATGTAGAACATGCAAATAGTAGTGGAATAGTGATTTTTAAAGATTTTTTAAATATTTTATTTTCTTGCTTTGCTCTAATGCGAGCCTATAATCACCCCTTGGCTTAGGTGCTATCTCGTGGTTTTAATATAAACTTGAAGGGGTATTCTTGTCTAGAGACAAAAATTTTAGGTAATTTTTAAAGTGTCGTAAAAAAGGCAATCAATATTTTTACTATCGATTTTTTATCATTTGTTTATTAATGTTACAAGAGTTCAGTAAAAAATTAAAAAAAAAGTTAAAAATTTAATACACTGGCAGCTGATGAAGAGGGGGATCTCAAAAATTTAACATTTGATTTTAACCGTTTTAGTCATCTGAAATGAAAAATAAGACTATCAATCTGCAAAGATGTCGCAATTGTATAAACTAGCGATAAGCAAAAAAAATTGACAAAATTATTATTATTATTTATTCGTAAACGCCAATCGGCAATATACAGTAAAATGGAATAATAATGTTATTATTAATATTAGTATTGCAAGAGTATAGTAAGTAGGTATGTAGAGTGGCTGTCTAACGACGCACCTAGGCCTATAGGAGGCCCATTGTGATTAGATATAGTAAGTAACTTATACAAAAATTAAATGAGACATAATATAGAGAATCCAAAGAGGAGAAACAAAATTCAGTTAGCGTTAAAAATAATCTAATATAATACAATCCGAGTTTTAGCCATTGTCGTAGTCGCATAGATGTCTTCTCAATTCAATGTTGAAGGAATGGATGGAATCTCCGAAGAACTGGATCTGAGGAGTCAGGTCATTTACATAATTAGCTTTCCTGTTTTTAGGACCGTGTATGACTTAGCTTTTAGTTAATTTGGTTGTTTTAATAAAGCGATTGCGTCTGAGACTTGGCCCATCTGTGATTATTTCAAAGCTATTCTCCAGTTTATGTCGAGCTAGTAGAGAGTTGATCTGGAACTTTTTTTTACTTCATCCACTGCTGTTGTTGATGTTTGCCGTGTTAAGAAAAATGACAGGGACTTGCAGAATTTATACTGAATTTTTTCAAGTCTATTGACTTGAATATCAATAAATGGTGACCATATTACCGTCCCATATTCTAAATGGCGACTGTTTAAAAAAAAACGTTTTTTTTTATTTTCTCGTATTTTTTTTAATAATAGTTCATACCGGAAAGAGGTATATTAAGAAGATTCTCAGAAATCAGAAATCAGAAATTCAAGTAAATCGGTCCAGTAGAACTCGAGAAATCGTGGGTATCGTATTGAAAAGGTCTCGTCTGAGAAAAACGCATTTAAAGTTTCGCGTAAAGTTTTTCGTTGCCAAAGTCTGAAATGATATGTTATACTTACTTTTATTCAATCTACCATTCCTGGGTTATACATCGGACCTTATATTTAAAAAAAAACTATTTTCTGCGTTTCTCTTTTCCAATCTAGCAGTTCTGGCCTCCTTTGAAGCATTGGATGTACGTATTATGGAGCGTTCAATCCGGGCGCTGTCTCATCTCACAGCAAATAAATGAGCTTCCGGCCCAATTTTCATTCCCATAAGGGTCATCATTTTTAAAATCGGAATGAAACCTTCATTAAAAATGCAAACAGCAATAAATGTTGCTATTTCAATTACCTGAGGTCCGGAATGAATATGTTTCGGCGCGAAGGTCCAAATCAACGAGTTTAGAGACTCATTATTGTTTTGTGTTTCTGAACCTAAACATCGAGTTAATAATTCCTCTGATGATAAACTGTTATAAATTGGTTTTACAATTTCTAAAACTTTATCACACAAAGGAACATTATCATGCTGAAAATCCTCTAAGGTATCCTCAGATGCAGCTTCAATACGCATTGGAACTATTCTGGTACTAAGTAGGCCAAGCTGCGTTTTTCATGTCTTCAACAGTCTGAATGCCGGCGAATTGCTAAACCATAATACAAGGACAATTAATTCAAAATTTTATCAGTTAATTTGCCTTCTTCTTTTCCACCAACCCCTTTATTATCTCTCTTCGCTTTCCGTAACCTTGCACCATTCTTTTTGTTACATGTCCTACGCATTCTTTTTTTCTAGCAATGGGTCACCATCATAAGGATCCATATCGCGTATGCCTTTGAATGGCTTTGTATCATCATCTCCAATATATTATCCTAGATATATATATATATATATAAAGGTGTGTGCATGTATAATATATATCAATTATACAATATATACATTTATAGTAAGTAAAATGTCTATAAATCGGAAAAAAGTGGTATACATATTCTTAAATAGTTAAACGTAGAAAATCGTTTTTTTTTGAAATTCTACACTAGAATACCCCCTTAAAATATTGATCAGTTTGTTTTTATTTCTGCATAAATTTTAAGAGATTTGTTCACTTTTGCCTTTAGATATGAATACAAAAAAAAAACTGCAACCTATTTTTTAATTTTCAGATGAAGGGCCAATAACCCCAAATACAACTCTTGAATCATTGGACATTGTGGAAGCTGAACTAGCACCTATGTTGAAGCCGGGAGGAGCATTTCTGCCGCATGATTGTATTCCGAAGGAACACGTCGCAATAGTCGTACCATTTCGTGATCGTTACGCCCATTTAACCGTGTTTCTAAGAAACATTCATCCATTTTTAATGAAACAGCATATTGCCTACAGAATATTTCTCATCGAGCAAACCAATGGGAAAGCATTTAATCGGGCTGCGTTAATGAACATTGGCTTCTTAGAAGCGTTAAAAATATTTCCATGGGACTGTTTTATATTCCATGATGTTGACTTGTTACCTCTGGATAATCGAAACTTTTATACATGTCCGCGGCAACCGCGCCACATGTCAGTCTCTATAGATACTTTAAACTTCAAGTAATAACTGTCATATATTTTTATCAAGTTCAACCAAGTGATTTTGATGTTTTTGTCTACAGGTTGCCTTATCGTTCAATTTTTGGAGGAGTATCCGCTATGACTCGTGAACACTTTCAGCTAGTGAATGGCTTTTCGAATTCGTATTTTGGGTGGGGTGGTGAAGACGACGATATGTCGAATAGGTAAGATATTGTACATACTTATAGCAAACAATATTTTGATGAGTTAAGGCATTTTACAATTTACTAATGAATTTTATAATTTACTTCAGATTAAAGCATGCCAATTTGTTCATATCAAGATATCCTGTTAATATAGCACGTTATATGATGCTAAAACATCCCAAAGAAAAGGCTAATCCAAAAAGGTGAATATTATAACACTAAAATAAATAGTTTTACATAATAAATGTTAATATGTTTTAATCAAGAAGATGGGAAAAAATCGCACCGGATCTTGTTTCCAGCCAAACAGCTGTTTAAGTTATATATAATATATATGTTATTTAGCACTGAACTTAAATTTGAAATAGATAACAAGGAGTTCAGATGTTGTGCATGTGAATATTATAAACTCTTAAAATGTGTAGGATTAAGCAAAACTATTTCAAAACGAGACTACACCGAAGCTATAATGCCCTTCACAGGTGAATTTTTTTATAGCAAATATATATATATAGATCTTTATCCTGATTTTTGATCGCTCCGTTTGAATGGAAGCTGTATGCAGTGGTGCAACCTGTACAATTTATTCTGAGATTGTAGCGTTACCATGGTCAATAGTCTGTGCCAAATTTCGTGCAGACACCTTGTCAACTAAAAAGTTTTCCGTACAAGAACAAACTTCCTTGCAAACTTAATACACCCTGCTCAGGGTAAAATAATGTTGCGGAATGAGATAAGCTTTATTCGCCAAAATTATCAAGCGAGAATAAGACGTCTTACAGGAGGATTTTTATCAGGCTCAAGGCCCAAACACATTGGACAATAGTCATTGTAATTTTCCATTAACAATGTTTGTTAAACTGGCGCACATATAAAACTGTCATAAAATACGTATCACTAAATTTAATGTTTTTTGGGTTTCACACCCTCGTGCTCGGTTTGTGTTCTTTTTCATAACAGTTTGCTGGCACGTAATTCGCAATTCCTAGCATGTATAGCGAATTGCAAGTTTTTGCCTTCATACATCTGTTGAGCAATACATAAATCTAATGTTCGATACCAATTGCATATTAAAGGCGCATATAATCACAGTTATAAGACGTAAGTGAATGAATATTGATTCAAAATATTCTATATATCCTTCCATTTGTAATAGTATAAAAACATATTTTGTTTTTAAACAATAACGAAATCAAATATATTGAATAAATAACATTTCGCAAATATAATTAGATATTCAAAAAATTGTAGCTATTTAAAGGTAGTTTTGAGCGGAAGGCGTATCTTTATTCAAATATTTCAGACAATGATGGCAGAATCTTTTCTGTGTTAAGCTTTCAAGGTCTCAATATCCGTTATGTTTTATTCTAAATTGTAATAAAATTAAGTAACCTTAGTTAGATAATAGTAAATATTAGACCAATACCAAATTCTCATTATTTCATCGTCTTTTGAAATATTACAGTTTATTTGCTTTTTAATGGAGAATTACATTAAAAAAGTGTGGTTAAGTGCTAAACAAGAATGTCAACCTTATAGTTACATTAATTTTACACAAAAAGGTTAGAATCGGCTATATATATTTTATTACATTTTAGCGAGATAGACAATAAGTTAGCAATGCAAGTAACCAAAAATAAAAATAATTTCATATTTTTATTATAACATCATTATTTATTTATTATTTTGTTTACTGCTTACAGATATGAGAATCTCGTAAATGGAATCAGCAAGATGGAAATGGACGGTATAAATTCCATAAAGTATGAAATCTATAGCATAAAAGAATTTCCAACTTTTACTTGGTATCTAGCAGAATTAAAAATCTTCGATCAAACAAGTTAATACCTATAGTAATAGATTAAGAAAATAGTGATTCCTCAAATATTTATTTAGTTTTAAAAAAAAGTTAACAAATACACTTGTTTATTCTTATTGCTCTACCCATATTTAAAACTCATTTATTACAATTATTATTAATACACACGAATAAAATAAATATATACGATTTTGTAAGGTGTTTGTTTTTTTTTTGTCTCGTTTTATGAGGGTTAAAGTGAATACGAAGTAAATGCTTTTAGATGTTGAATGTCTGTATTAACACGCATGGCAAAGTGTGGTCTTTCGGTTTATCGAACCATAAAAATTATCTTATTGATGTTTCTTTATTACAAAGACATAAAATTGTAATTATTTGGTATTGCGATCGCTGCTATAGTTTTATCTTAAACTTCCCCTTCCTTAAGTTTCGTTAATCCAACGGTAGTTTAACTGTTGTAAAATATCTGCAGGAAATTTCTATGAAGTGTTTTTTAAGTTTTTATTAACTTTAAATTAGTTAAGCGTTCAAAGTCCTTTTCCGTGCGGTCGTTTGATTAACAAAATGCTATAACAAATCGAAAGCGTTTATCATTGGAAAATAAAGTAACGGTTTTGGGCGATTCCATAAAGGGACTTTCAGTAAAGCCCATACCAGCGGAGTATAAGTATGAAGTCCCAAAATCTTCGGTTTGTGCTATAAAAAATTAAATTAAAAAAAAGCTAATTGAATTTCCTAGAATGGGGCCGCCCCTAACAAAAGGGCGAAACCATATTAGTGGAGCGTTTTTAAAGACAATGGTGAAGAAGCTTCCTTCTAAGTTCTGTAAGGGAAATTATTTTACCAGTGATGGTGGGATGCCTAAGTCAAATATTCTACGTAATGAATAACATTTCCCAAGAGTTTCAATTCAAATTAAAAAAAACTGGGAAATTGCTTCCTGAAAAATATATGTTCTTCCTAAATAAGCATTTGCATCCAAAAAAAAAAAAAAATATTATAACATTTATAGCATGCGTCAGTGCTTTGGAAAAAAATTACCACTTCTAGTCATCGGAAAATCTCAGAACTCAAGACCTTACAAAAAAAAAATTTAATTTATTTATCAAAGTATAAATGGCCATCTGTGGTTTAAAGCTTTGGAAAAGAGCACATGGCCCACGCTCTAATAACTTTATTGTGCATATCTCACAAACAACCAAAGCTATTTTAACGAAACTTGCTGAGAATAAGCCTTTCTATAATTACTTTACGCACTGTGAAAATGAGTGAAACCAGACGATAACCTTGGGCACTTCTCATATAACAGTTATGTCGAAAACTACAAAAACTGCGCTACCTTAATAAATAAATGCGGCAGAGACATTAAATTTTACACCCGATATGAAATTAAACGACTTCACAGAAGCCGGTATCGAAATTTAACATTCTATATGTTTCTTTCACTTTACAATATATGTATGGTATATATTATTGAAACTCAGAGAGAATCTTCCTGATAGTAGGGTGGGTAAAATCAGTTTCATACTTCCCTTAGCTCCCATTTACCTAATATAAAGATTTTAAAACATTCAGTTGACTTTATGCCTTCTATATATGTAGGTCAATATGTAAGTTTTCTTAATGAAATTCAGAGAGTATTTCCTTCTAATAACAGTGTATCCTTGTGCCTAAAATAGATAAATTGGGCCAGTACTACCCCTCGTCACCATTTCCCTAATATAAAAATTTTAAATTTAGAGTTGGCTTTATACCGTATATATGGGTCAATATGTAAGATATCTTTGAAATATTACGTATAAAATCGAATATGCTATAGTTTAGAGCTTGGTCAACACCTAAAAATATGCCCCCAGACTTTATCGTTGAAAATTGCGAGAGTATAAAATGTTCGGTTACAGCCGAACCTAATTCTTTATTATTTGTTAAATACATAACTGTTAAATAAAACAGAAGAGTCTATTTGATTTTAAGGCAGCTGAAATTGATTTATTATTCTATCAACTACATATGAACATATATTTATTCCAAATTGTATTCATCCTTCCCAAGTGGCTGCACACATTAACAATTAAATACTATTGAATATTTTTTGTTTTTATGCACCGTTAGCCCGATTTTTAAAATTTTTTTCTTTTTGTTGTTCGATTTGTAATTTAATATTATTATATACATTTTGGAGGCTTAGCTAGTGCTCTCAAATTGTTTATAATAAAACTACATTGTACCGTTAGAGTATTTTTATTAAACACATTATTTTGTTAATTAGCATATATATTTTGTTGACAAATTCGGTTACAAACATTAATTTTTTATGTTAATATTACAGTAAAGCTAATCATGAAAATAAGCATACAGCTTTATGACACATACATATGTTCAAACATATGCACATTTTTATTATACCTTAAAGGCACGATATTTAGGCGTATAATCAGACAATAAAGATATTTGACACAAATTGTATTTATAATAATGGTTCCTCGGCAAGTGTAACAGTATATACATACTTATGTAGAAATATATATACATATGTATATTACGTGCAAATTTTTTTAAATTTAACAACTCTAAAATTTAGAGCATTAAAATGGTTAAACCGTTCTTGTTATTGTATATACAACGATAATTCACCAACATTGAACATTTATGCGAAGATATTAGCATTCTCGACAAACTTCTTTGCGATCCAGTAAGTTTTGGATATTAACAATAAGGATAGTAATGTCTCATTTCCATGACAGCACGTTTTTTCGTTCTTATGTGTGAGTTATAAATATATATTAATAATAATAGCATTTCGTTAAAAAGAGTACACATTGGCAAATAGAATATTCATCCTTACGTATATACATAGATAAATAGATAAAAATAATTAATAATAATTTTTATAATATTTTCTTTTTTTAATAAAATCAAACTAATTTCCATTTATCGATTTTTTAGTTTCATTAATTTATTAAAAATGTCTAATCTTTATCATCGCTTCCAAAATTGGTTTGTATATTTGTTTATTGTCTTGTAAATTTCTCAATGTGTACTAAATTTTATTTAGAGAGTGTATGGAGTATTATTTAATATTAGTGGTACATACATATGTACATACATATATCTATATTTACATTCGAGAATTTATTTCAAAAAATTAATTTGATTTCGATTTACATAATGGAGCATGGCATAGCACAACAAAGTGGTAAACAAATAGGAACCACTGCACCTCCTTGTTTAGTTTTAGTTTTTGATTTATACCCGGACTCGTACTCATACATTCCAGAGCCTTTAGCCCAACGTCCCTAAAACAAATAAAACATAAAAGTAAAGTAAAGTAAACATTCATTTGCAAAGCAAAATAAATAAAAGAGCTCTAAGGAATCTTTCCGTACGTTTACAGATATAATTACAATTTTTTTAAACCTGTTAAAGTAAGTGTTCTCATGTCTATGACTGCGTTCAGACAAGGACTCTTTTGTCGCTTATTATCGGCAAATTCTCTTTTCATGTCCCTTATTGCTTTCACATTAGCGACACAAGACCGATAAATTGAGTCGGAACATTTTCTGCATATCCTTTCATATCACATTTTAAAATTGTACGCGTCATGTTCGCATTGCACAAACATATTTTTGATCAGCTAGTTTTTAGCCTTGTTCAACCTTTTCTAACACATTTCTATTATATTAGGGACAAATTATATAATAAAATTAAACTTTCCGTACATAATGTAAATATTCATTTGAAATCGAGAGCTATTTCAACAATGAAAGGAATTTCAAAATGAAAAGGAATGCTGAATTGCGTAGCACCGATCTGAACAAGAACGCAAAACGTGCTACCTGCGCGTGAGTGGCACGTTCCATTCCTTTTTCCTCGTCGTCTCATCGACTAGAAAAACAGGTTTGAGCGACAAAAAGAGTCCTTTTGTAAACATAGTCTGTATCTTGCAAAGCGCTGTCAAGATAGAAAAATCCACTTGTTCGGCACTAGCATCGAGTTTTTGTGGGATGCTTATTACGAACTCTAAGGGCATGAGATCTTTTAATTGATCATCTTACCCCAGCCGCTGACCCTGCAGCCATTTCTTCACGTTTTGTTAACATTATTTCATGTCCAGGTGGGTAATAAACTTCTTTTCCCGCCTTATTTATTGTAGGAACATGTTGACTTGGAGTTGCCACAGCGGTTTCTATTTCCCGTTTACGTGGAGTAGACAGGTCAGCTCGGTCTACAGAATCAACCTGAGAAAGATCGAAAAATATTAATTTGCCATTAATATGGAATTCAAAATATGTACATACATATCTATACACATACTTGAGCAACATGGTGCACATTTGTGTTGATTTATACTTACTTGCCCAAATGACTGCATGAGTTCGTCAACTTTCTGCGGTGGACTGGTATTAGTTGGATACTCGACTCCATCAACGGGAAATGGTGCTGGTTGGGTGGTTGGTGATGGTTTTCCATATGAACTGTCTGGTCCTTGACGAGTGTTTGATGTAGATGAAGATGAATATTTATATGTTACTTGAGAAGTGTTAGCAGGCCCGTGTGGGGGATAGCCATTACCACTGGGTAGATATCCTGCTGGCGGTGATTTGTTTTGAGGGTTGGCTGGTGGTAAATATCTGGGCTGCGTATCTGATGGACGAACTGGTGATCCATGGATAGTGTTCACCACATTTGAGGTTTCTTTATAAATATATTTTGTGGTTGTCGGTCCAGGAGGATAAGTATCATGCGTTTGGCTATATGGTCCATTTTGTGGTGGTTCTTGGTGTATGGGATACTCTGGAGACCGTTGAGAAGGAAAGCTTCTGAACTCTGGTCCGGTGTGAATATTTTCAGTTGTGTTCATTTTATAACTAATAGTTCTGTTGCTGCCACTTGGTTGAGGGCTACGCGGTTGTTGTAATGGTAAATTCTTTTGAAGAGTGTTTGTTTCGCGATTCTCCCGCACTTCATACAAGTGATTTGTAGTTATGGGACGCTCATTAGTCCTATTAGTTGTAGAATAGCTTTCCGTATTATAAACAACAGTATGTGGTACCACTGGAGAGACTTGGGTTGCGATAGGACTAGACTGTAGTGTGGAGCTGTTAACTTCATTACGTTGAATTGTGTTGTAGCGAGTGCTTGAAGTTAAAGGAGTACCTCGGCTTAGTGTGCCGATGGCTGGTACTTCGTAAGTATAGGTACGAACTGTAGTGGTAACTTTGGTACCAGGTAGTGGCAATATATCTTCAGTCAAAGGCAAATTCTGAAGATCTTTCTCTAGCTGAGTTGTTGTTGTTGTGGTTGTGGTACCGGATGGAACCAAGTCTGTACTGTCAATAATGCAGTTGCTTTCATACAATTTGTTCTTGCTTTCATAGACGTTACCTGTGATAAAACATCGGAATTTCGTAAAATCAGCTTGTTAAGCTACGGATTTGTGTAAAATGTATTACTTACTAGATCCGTAGAGTTTTTCATTCGGTTGATAGTCACGTTGAATGCTAGGATAACCATTCGACTTTAGAGTACTGTATTCTGATGTCGAAAAGCGTTCAATTTCGTCCTGCAAAGGATGTGGAATTGACCGTTGTGATGTTTTCATAACTCGCATGGTTTTCATAACAGTGCCACCAGGTTCAACGTGTTCTCGGTCCCGTTCCCTGAAATTAATCCAAAACCTTTACTCAATTTAGATCTAAATTTGGTTTAATTAAATGGTATTCTGTTACACCATTCCATATTGAAATAGCATACTATGCGAAAGCTTTTTGTACTCACATCGCTCTATAATTGGCAGAATTTGATAAAATATCTAAAAAAAGAAATTTGGACATGAAAATTGCGGTTGATGTGAAATTTTAGTTCTTTCGTTACCTTTATCTTTTGTGATTTGACGCTCATGTTTCAAGTCTTCCAATAAAGCATCCAATTGATCAATATTTGTATCCAGTGACTTATTCATACTTGCTATGTTGTTATTACCCGAATTGGAATATTGATAGGATGACTTCTTGTACACATAGCCTTTATCCTCCTATTGAGATGAAGATTTAAAACATTTTATTTTTTTTTCTCATTTTGTTAGTTTTTAAAATTGAACTTTTATTGTTTTACCTTGTTACCCCATTTTGCAGGTGAATCGCCTCTTTTTGATGAGGAGTAATTTTCTGAGCTCGTCGTATACTGCATTCCTAAAAAAACGATTTCTTTTAAGTCTCTAATAACAGTAAGCTTAGCTAATATGAAATTGGTTGGCTATTAAGTAATATAGAATAAACAAGTTAAATGATTATGCCGGCGATCAAAAGAAAATAGTTTGGCACTTGTTCTATAAACTTTCAATATATATAGTATATACCTTAATCAAGGAATCAATGTCCAATTTAAGGAAACAATTACAAATTTGAGTGATTGAATTGAACTACTTCTAAAAATGCAGATGTTCGTCATATCCGTTATGATGTGACACTTGAAATTTGAAAATCAATACTTCTCTGACTACTGCAAACAATGGCCATAAACAACGAGTGAAATGAAATGAACTTAGTTTGCTTCTTCTTCAGCAAATATTAAAGTAAAATAAATTGTAGTAATATAATTTATTATACTTGAATTTAGTTTACTTTTGAATTAAGACATTTTTACTTTGTTACGAAAGAAAAAACTAAATTTGTATGAAATAAAATATAATCGCTTTATATTTTTACAGCTTTCTTGCTTTGGTTTTTATTTTTATTAAACTTTGGTAATATTGTAAAATTTAATTCTATCTGTGAATATACATATATGTACATACATATATAGTTAATTATAGTGAGGAATTTTTTTTATAGAATTTTCAGTATTAATAATTGCCAATACTACCTCGTATAAGCTTACGTATGCTATGATGGCAGTTATGCTTCAATTTATTGTGTAATCCATATTTTCATTCAAGAAGCTATTTCACGTAGGCGTCTAAATTATCTGCTTTAACAGGTAAATATTTGTTGGAGTATGACACACTAAAATGTATATTTGTGGATAGATATACCCAAACGCCTTCATACCATTACAAGTAGAAGGAGGATTTAATTTCAAAAAGTGATGCGTAAAAAATACAAATTATTAATAGTATTTATAAAAATTTTATGGCGTTAACATTTCAGTAGATGTTTGTTCAATATTCTTCTAGTATTCGTGATCTGCCATTCATATGAGACAAAAAATAATTTTGGCTTAGTTACGGTAGAGTAGTCCATACAGAGGTATTATGAACATGACTCAATTAGATGGTAGAGAGAGAAACGAACGAACTTATCTAAGGCTTTTTGGATTTATTTACCTTACCTTTCCCTAACAGGTCTTTCCGAAGTTTATTTTGGCGAGTAATACTATTTCGATATCGAGAGACAAAATTTTAACTAATATAATATTATATTGTAAATTATCACGCATAGTCGATACTACCCACGCTACGTAAATATCGCCAAATGGACATAACGGTATTTTCTATATAAAAAATATTACAATGACAAAAAATTACTGAGGCTGTTGGAGATGAATTCTATAATTTTTGTTTGAAAAAATTATAAAACATTATGACTAATGTGATCATTATATAATACACTACAATTTATATAATTATTTTTTGACCTTTTTAAAGAAATATTGAAAGTTCTCAAAACTAAAATAAAGGTTTTATTTGGTCAAGTGAATTTAGCGCCATATTTGTAGGCGTAATATTTTTATATTAATTGGAACTTTTTTATGTAATGGTATTTAAAATCGTATAACGATGAGATGCTTATAAATGAAATTTAGAACGTAATGTAACCTTAGTTAATAACATATAGAATTATGTAACACTGTGTGTACATGCACACGCATTTGTATCCCGTAAGTGGTATGCAAACACAAAAATGTATATAGCACATACATTCATATGGACATACGTATATATACTATAATTTTATACATGCATGACTGGGTGGAGAAGCGTCAAAATACGGTTATTAGACTTAATTGAAATCACAATGAAAAATCTGTTTTCATATCTCTGTTCATCATTCAGTGAAAATAAATCTATATTTATATGAAAATAATACATATATATACAAATTTGTATATAAGGTACGTGTATATAAGGAATATACACAGATATTAGAAATATATGGTATGTACATATGTACATACACGTGTGCCTACAAGGCCACTTGAGTAGGTTTTTGAATTTTCATTTGTTGATTACTGGCAAAAACATTAAATTTAAATTTAATATTTAAAATAAAGTTTGGAAAGAAGCAATTCAAGCACACTATTCGTGTTTGTGATTAATGGGAAATAAAATTACATAAATGTACGTTAAAAGGTAATTGTGCAATGTGCGTTATACAATTTCAAGGAAAATTAAATTACTTATGTACACATATTTGTACTTGCATCTACTCGCGCAATTTTATGGAAATGTCGAACATGGTATCCATATACATATGTATGTAGGTATGTAATATATGTATTGGCTTATATATAAATTATTAAAATACGAAAATATACACACAAATTTACTTATTTGCGTATATCAATTGACTTATTAAAAGGCTAATTTCTAGAATACAACCCGTCAGACAACAGCAGTGATCGCACACTGAACAAATGTTTGTGAATACGTATACTCACGTTTATATAGAGTGTTGTTTGCATAAATTCAAATAGAATGATCTCATATAATCTCGTTTATGCCAAATGAAACGTAGAAAACAAAAACGGAATGTCCGAAGGTGATTTCGAAAAATCAACAAAACACAAAACTGCTCGTACATATGACAGTGTTCGCCACAATTATTTGTATGGATATTTTACTAGTATACATACATACATATATTTATATAAATATAATTTAATATATATGAGTATATTTGGAAATTATGCTTGCTATTCGAGTTCACCTTTACATTTCACACACTGGATATATGTTAATACACACGTCCATACATACATATCTACAAATGAATGTACATATGTGTACTCTAGTAAATTATAATTTTCGTAATATATGTACATATATCTGTATATAATAATATGTACCATATTAATTGCAAGACATACCCGACCGTGGCCTTCGGGCCTTGTGATTCCTGCACCTAAATTAAATAAATTAACTTTATTTCATTTTGGGCCTCTTGCGAGTGATAATTTAAATCAATACCGCCGATTGCGTACAACTAAAAATATTTATGAGGCGAAATGTGAGCAATATACTCATTTTGATTTTAGTATCTTTTATATATAGCCATGTATTCTCTACAAAACATGTGCACGTACGTATGTAAAAAAATAATTCATCGCTCAGATCATCAAGCTTTTTACAATATATTCCAGTTTGTCATACATACATATATATGTACATTCATATACCATCTTCGTAGATATTTACACACTATATACAATTTAAATATTTTGGAAATCATCGTGTTTTTCTTTATGTGATTAGAAAGGTGAAATGTAATTAGCTGTTTTTCGTTATTTTTTCCGCGTGAAAACAATTTGGGTTGACGAACTACTCTATTAAAACCAGCTAAGTAGCTTTTTGAGAAATACTTCAAGGACAAGTATCACCAAATCGTTTTTTTTTTTGCTTCTGTATCAAAGTAATAATTTTTTTCATAGGAACACATAAGTTCTAATTTCTTATGAGGGACCAAAAGTATTGTGCTCAGATTGCATTTAGCATATTTCGAAGGAATTTTATCTTTATATCCTATAGCTTAATGCATGTACCAAAGTTATAAGACTTAAACAACTTTAAATAGATAGACATAGATGTGCATTTTGAGTTTTGTTTCTGAAGCATTCACCGTATATTTTTCGACTCTAACGTCATTGGTGATTAATTTTTTTATTGTTCTCAGTTTGGGTGCTATTAGCATCTTTGCTTTTGGTGATGATCTCCGCGTCTATTCATTGAGTATTAGTGAGTGGTGTCTGCCTACAATTATTGATGCATGAGTAAGTATGTACAGGCATGTATGTACGTGCATATTAGGTAAAAATATTGCTCGTCAATAAACTTAAAAAACGATATAATCAAAAAGGAAAACAAAAATTTAAAATTAGTTCACTGCTACTGAGCATGTTTTGAGACAGTGAAATCGCTGCTTTTCACATCTGTCGGCGATATTTATGTATATTATTTATTTAATTTCTTCTTTTGAGCATGAATTTCGCACTTTTTTAGTCACACCCGTTATAAACATTTTGACGATAACATTGGTTTTAATTTTTCGCTGGGAGTGTGTATATACATATTCACGTATGTATGTGTGTACACATGTGTATAATTTTGCACACATTTGCTATGAAATTTGGCTAATTGCCATCGAAAATTACTTGCAACTGGTTTTCACAGCCCACTTCCTCACACAAACTAGAAATTGTTACATGTATGTATGTGTCTATGCAAGTATGTAGGTATGCATAAACGTAGGTAGCATAGTATGTTTACGTTGTATATTATGATTGTAGGCATAGACATTTTCGTTGAAACCTGTCTTCTATCGCTTACACCTACGTATAAACATCACTACTGCAAATACATACTTATGTACATACATACATATATAACAGAATTACAAGGATAATGTACTCGTTCATTCATACATATATTTCATTGCAGTTAAATCACCACATACGCATGAATAAACAGTTAGTTTCGCTTTGCAAAATTGTCCCAAATATCTCACATACTTTCTATTTATTCGTGCCACCAACGAAACTTAGCTCTTCACCGATTTTCAATTATTTTTGAGTTCAGTTTCTGGTATTATTACTTGACTAAACGACTAAAATATACCGATGCAGCATGTATCGGTATCGTTTTCTTGGTATTTTGTTTTTGGTTTGCTTTCCTTTAAGCACTGACAACTTTGAAGATCCACAACGAGATGATGGTGTGCTATAAATGCGGCGGTGTGGCGGGAGTATGTATTTGAAAATGAGCGACCAGTTTCGTTGCGAGCACTACACACGTTCGCGTCGGCAATATATTGTGTACTGTGGCACTGGCGCCAGCGGCCTGCTCTCGAGAAGCTCAAAATGTTTGCACGAAAAGCAGAAAGAGCTACCATGCAAATAGTCCACCTTCTCCTCGGACGAATAGGTTTTCACTTGAGCGATTTCTTGTAAGATGGCTACTCTCTTAACACACTCGTTGGGCGCTCTTATCTTATAATCAATATAATGATCAGAAATTTAAACACATATTTGAATCTTTATAAGCAACAAACTTTTGAACAAATAACTCTTGTGCGTACTAAATCACTCAATCCCCTATTGATCTCAGAGTCTGGCTTTATTCTGTCCGCAAGTTGAGTTGCAAACATTTAAAAATTGACTTTGGTGAATTAGAAGCGTGTAAAATAAATCTTCGAACATTTTCTACGATTATTTTAAAAATAATTTTGCTTTTGAAAACAAAAATAAGATTAATTAGTGCAAATATTTATCAATAATTACACAGCTCTACAAAAGAAAACAACTTTTTTGTTGTCCTGGATATCTTAGCAAATTTTGATGGTTTTAAGTGCCCAAATTACGAATTTATTCATGAAATTGTTAAGTGTGCTATGATTTTATGGTAATTGCGGATCTTATATTTTGATCAATTATCGGCTTCTTAATAATAAGTCATGATTAGCTTTGGAGTTCGCATCTTATTCACAAATGTCCTATGTAACCAAAAGTACCAAATTACGAAGAAATTGTTAAAAACATACTGACGACTTTTCATAATCAAGGAGTAAATACTCGTATTAGTATTAAGTTAGGCCATCTGCACAATCATCTGGGTTAGTTTTCGAAAAGTTAGGAAATTGTAGTGAGGAATAGACAGAGCAGTTTCACCAGGATCTAAAGGTAATGGAAGAAAGGTATCAGGGTTGATAGGTTCGGCAGGTTACTGCGGGTCTTTCAATAGAGATTGTTAACTAGAAAATCATAAAAGAAATAATCATTTATTGAAATATAACATATGTTTTCGACATTTTTCTCTCTGTTTACTTGAATGTCTCCTTATTTTTCAAAACAAAACTAGCATTACTATTAAAAAATATGCTATTTTGTATCATGTGTTCTGAGTATTGACCCCATTCAACCCATTTTTGACACAAGGGTATAATATTATCAAAGAAACATTTTCCCCGAATTTCAATAATATATCTCACAGCTTGACCGATATTTCCAGCAAAAAGTCAGCCATAGACACTTGCGTTCCCATATTTGGCGTCGGGTTCTTCAAAAGTTATGGTTTGATTTTGACAACTTTTGGACGTAAGATGAAATACCTTGAGAATTCACTATTTGTGAAAAGTTTTATCCGGATACATTGATTGGTTCTTGATTTGTATGCTGGAAAGTGAATGAATCGTATGGAATTTAAAATTGTGCTATATGGAAAGTAGGCTAGTTTGTAATCCAATTGTTATGCACCGAATTTGGTTGAAATTTCCCCCTAAATATGGGCGATGCCAAGCCCATCGTCAAATTTTGACACCGACTCCTATAAAGCCCTCTCGTACCATTTCGGGTGTAAAATTGTGTCTCTAAAGCATTTAGTTATTGATTTATCGCACTTTTGGTAGTTTTCAACATAACTTTTATATGGGGAGTGGGCGTGATTGTCATCCGATTTCATTCATTTTCACAGTGTCGGTAGGACATTTCAAAGGGGTTTTATCCTAAGCGAATTTGGGTGATATGGCTTGAATAGTTTGGAAGATAAGTACACTAAACTTATTAAAGAGCGGGGTCACGCTCATTTTTATACCCTGAACAGGGTATAAGCACCGTGACGAGCTGAGTTGATTTAGCCATGTCCGTCTGCCTGTCCGTCCGTCTGTATATACGCGAACTAGTCCCTCAGTTTTTAAGCTATCGATCTGAAATTTTGCACCTGTCCTTTTCTCACAAAGAAGCTGCTCATTTGTCGGAACGACCGATATCGGACCACTATAGCATATAGCTGCCATACAAACTGAACAATCGGAATCAAGTGTTTGTATGGAAAACTCTTTCATTTGAGGAGGTATCTTCACGAAATTTGGCACGTATCATTATTTAAGGCAATAATCCAATCTCCGGAGAAATTGTATAGATCGGATGAGTATAGCATATAGCTGCCATACAAACTGAAAAATCGGAATCTAGTGCTTGTATGGGAAACTCTTTCATTTGGCGAGGTATCTTCAAGAAATTTAGCATGGATTATTATTTAAGGTAACAATTTAATCTCGGAAGAAAGTATTCAGATCGGGTGACTATAGCATATAGCTGCCATACAAACTGAACAATCGGAATGAAGTGCTTGTATGGAAAACTAAGACGAGGTATCTTCACGAAATTTGGCATGTATTATTAATTAAGGCATTAAGAAAGAAATTGTATAGATCGGGTCACTATAGCATATAGCTGCCATTCAAACTGAACAATCGGAATCAAGTGTTTGTATGGAAAACTCTTTCATTTAACGATGAATCTTCACGAAATTTGCCATGGATTATTATTTAAGGCAATAATATAATCGATCGGAGTAAAGTGCTTGCATGGAAAATGGTTTTATTTGACGAGGTATCTTCACGAAATTAGACACGAGTTCTTGCCTAAGACAACAAATTATTCTCCGCAGAAATTGGTCAGATCAGATCACTATATCATATAGCTGCCATACAAATTGAACGTTCGGAATCAAGTTCATGTAAGGGGCCTTTGTATTTGTGAAGGGTATTATAGCTTCGGTGCAACCGAAGTTAACGTTTTTTCTTGATTTTTTAATTTTTTAGCCCACAGGTGCCTTTTGCTGCTGCAATCCCCTCTACCAAATTACAGTTTTATATCTTAATTTGGTTTTTAGTTATGGCATTTTATATGTTTTCGAATAATGGCGTTTTGTTTGCGTGACAGACGGACGGACGGACAGACACTAACCCGGATTTCAACTCGTCTCGTCATCCTGATCATTTTTATATAACTAACTCGATTATTTTTAGGTGATACAAACAACCGGTAGGTGAACAAAATTATTATACTCTGTAGCAACATGTTTCAAGAGTACAATAAACTAGAGCATTTTTATTTGCAAAATATTACTTTTTAACATATTATTTTTAGTTTCCTTGTGTAGTCACTCGCTTGCTTTTATAAAAAGAGCTCGATCTTTGTGAGAGTATGTGAGAAAAGTATCCTAGCGAGATATTGGATGATTATTAACAAATGGTAATACCGCTCTACTAGCGATGAGCGACATAAGGAGAACAAAACTTATGATGAAAAGGAGTTACCACAAAAAATACTAAGTAAATTATTTTGAAATCGACTGTTATTTTATTTTCAGCAAAGTAATAACCAAAATAAAAAAATTTATGATTATTGTTGGTTAGTTCTGTATGGATTGTTATTTTGTTCAGCCGATTTCGATCGAATTATAAAAAAATTTACAAACTTTATTTAACAATAATTACAACAAGCCAGGAGGAACTAAGCCGCACATATAATACTTTCGCAATTTCCAAAGATCGAAGCCGAAGGCATATTTTCAGGTGTTAGGTCAATTTGCGGTTAAGAAATACTATAATTTAATTAAAATATCGCACACATTGATCTAAATAGACTCTTTAAAAACGACTGGAAACTCGCAAATAGTGATATTAGGTATGTGGAGGCTAGGAGAAGTATTGACCCGATTTTAACAATTTTCGTATAAGGACGGACAATTATCATAGAAAAATACTCACAAATTTATATTTACAGTATAAAGACAAATATTATCTCTGAACTTAAATAATATATTTCACAGTTGGCCAACATTTTCAGTAAAAAGACAGCTATCTCAAGTCTAATAACTGTCAAAATCAAACCATAACTATTCAAGCCCCCAGATATCGGGAATGTGGACCTAATAGAAAGATTTTCGAACTTCCGGTTGACTTAAATTGTGTGACCGTGTTTTTCTCCTAACGGTGCATCTACCTAAAATTGATAAAATCTAATAAAAACTTGCCCTAGCCCCACATAACTAATATCAGGATTTTCAAACACCCGGTTGATTTTACTCCTTATATATTGTTGATGGCATGTGACGTACCTTACTGAAATTCAGAGAGCACCTATTTCTGTTAATAATATGTCATATAGCATTATTACCCATATACCTACCTAATAAAGGATTTTCAGACTTCCGGTTGGCCCTATGCCGTTTATATCGGTCAATATGTAATGCTCGTATATCTTAGCAGAATTAACTGAACGTATAATATTGGATACACTTTAGTCTATAATTTTGGATATACTTAAGTCTAATGGCGAAAATATGTGAAATTATATTATATTCCATATAATAGTTTCCGTTATTATAATTATTATTATAATGTTAATGGTTCAGCGCTGAACATGAATGGAGTTGGTCTCAATTCCCACAACAGCCGGTTCTGCGATACCGGAATTGACCCGGATTTTATCCGACCTGAAGTCCTGCAACCTCTCCACCGGTGTGAGTAAGCTTTGGACTACTGTCAAGGCCCTGTCAAATCCGAGGAGATATGACGATCGGGTTGAAATTCAATGCTATGGCCATGCCTCCTCGGACCCGAAGAAGTGCGCGAGCTATTTTAACCGGCATTTTACACTGCACCCTTCGACTGACAATTCCAAACGATGTGTTACCCGACGGCTGCGCAAAATGCCAAAAGACTGCGCGTCACTTACTTTCACCGATGGGGAGGTTCAGAGTGCCATCACAAAGGCCAAATCGTCCAAATCCATTGGCCCTGACGAAATAAGCATGCTGATGCTAAAACATCTGGGCTCGACGGGAGTAAACTATCTCACCAAGGTCCTCAACTTGTTGATGGCCACTATTCAAATACCCGATGTGTGGACAGTCGGAAGAGTGGTCCCACTACTGAAACCTGGGAAACCCACCAACAAAGGGGATTCTTATCGCCCGATAACTCTCCTTTCCCCAGTAGTGAAGACACTTGAAGCCTTGTTACTCCCGATGTTCACTCACCACCTCAGCCTAGCAGAACATCAGCATGGCTTCCGGAAAGTGCACAGCACTACCACAGCACTTAGCGTCAAAAACGCCCAGATAATTCATGGCCTAAACCAGAAGCCACCCTGCAAGAGGACGATCCTCGTAGCGTTGGACTTGTCGAAAGCCTTTGACACAGTCAACCACACAACGCTACTCGAGGTCATCGAACAATCTACGCTCCCTTCAGGGCTGAAGCGGTGGACCATGAACTACCTGAGCGGTCGGCAATCATCCGTACTATTTCGAGGTCAAAACTCCAAACTGAGAAAAATTAAACAGGGGGTTACGCAGGGTGGTGGCCTCTCCCCTTTACTGTTTAATTTCTACATCTCGATACTCCCTCAACCACCAGAGGGAATTTCCGTGACCTCGTACACTGATGGCTGCACGATATTGACGTCGGGCAATGGAATCGATGGCATGTGCTCAACAGTAAACAGCTATCTCTCTGATCTTTCTCCCTTCTTCTCTGCAAGGAGTCTGACACTCTCCCCCACTAAATCCACAGCGACCATATTCAGAAAATGGACGAAGGAGTACAGACTGGATCTAAACATTTCAGTCGATGGCACCAAAATTCCGACGGTAAACAACCCTAAAATTTTAAGCGATACACTAGACAGTCTTTGCTCCTTCACTCCCCACACGACCGCGATAACTGCCAAAGTACAGAACCGCAACAAAATCCTCAAATCGCTTGAAGGCAGCTCTTGGGGAAAAGACAAAGAAACGTTGCTGGCAACATACAAGGCAATCGTTTTCGTAGAAACCACCCCTGTAGTCGCCTGCTTGTAGCGGAGCCGCCTCCTAGGAACATCAAGAGGCTTTTCCTTGATTACGTCGACGACATTAGACAGTACGCCGACCGGACTTCGAACGCAACGAACTTCAGACAGGCACTGACCGCCATTCACAGTGGAGCCATCAACACCTTCACCGACTCCCTCTCAGTGAATGTATTGTATTACGAGTCAAACCACCACCCATAGCAGATGTAGAGCTCGAGATGCCTCGCGAAGCCAAAGTGTTCCTCGCGCAACTTCGTTCTTGATACTGTAGCAGGTTAAACTCCTACTTACCCAGAATAGACCCCGACATACCAAATGCATGTCCTGCGTGCAATGAGTCTCCGCATGACATTAACCACCTCTTTGCATGCCCAATAAACCCCACTCATCTAACACCCTTCTCCCTATGGTCCGACCCCGTCGAAACAGCTCGTTTCTTGGGCCTCCCGTTAGATGACCTCGACGACAACGAATCTGGAATTTATCACCCAAATGGGGACTAGGTAATCGTTACAACAACAATGGAGTTGGTCTGGACATTGGTCTTATTCTCATATTCCTAATTTCATTAATTCTGATCTTCTGGTTGATATTTTGTACATTATCTAAATATATTAATCGATAGTTTATAAGATATACAATTTCAGCCAAAGGTGGGTAGTGCCGCACCCATTGTCCAATCTTTACTTATATCTAATTTAATTTTAAAAGTAATGTTGATCCAGTTCCAACTGAAGCTCTTTGCGGTGACCATTACTAATCCTTAGAGGTTGAATTAAAATCAATTGGGCAAAAAAAGTTAGTGTATTTAAATAAATTTTATTGAAATCTACCGAACGGTATTCGAGCTACAATGGTCAACAGATCAGAAGTTTCGTTTTGAACAAAAACGCGGAAAGTATTTGACGGATTTACTTAAAATTTTTGGAGAATACTCCCAACCCGTGAATGCTTCTGACGTATATATTTACTGAATCATTGCAATTTTAGTAGTTTTGGACAATACTGTTATATGGGGAATGGTCATGATTATCATTCGACATCATCTATTTTCACATCATAATTTCGTTTGATTACTTGCAAAGGTATGACATTTCAACGAAACCCTAGAAGATGCAACGTTTATTGTCTAATTTTTGACAGGAAGAATGGTCCTATTCCAAAGTTGTAGAACAGATGATCCTTTCTACTGTGATCTTCTGTACATAATATGTACATATATATTGGACGTTTGGTTTTCACAGAGGGTACTCTGGGCCGCTAGGTTTATAAAAACATATTGAAATACAATTTGAAGGGAACTGTACAAATAGATTGTTTGGGTATTAAAAAGAATTGAATTTCTCACAAAAGATCTTAACGATCTCTAAGTAAACGGTTTGTTTTTCGAAACTGGCGTCTATATAAAACCTTCAGACTGCTAAATTCGTCACCACACTTTTCAAACATGCGAGTTAGATAGCAAAAATTATCGATTTATATTAAAAAGGTACAAAAAAAAAAAGAATGAATCGTGTAAGAAAAAAAGAAATTTATTAATAGCGAATAACTTTAAAGTCAAACGGAAAGGATTAAGAAAAAACAATCAACTGAACAAGTGATTAAAAACCGAGTTTGAAAGATTAAAAAATTTAAAAAATCTTGAATTAAAATTTAGAAAATAAATATTTAGCTATAAATTTAAAATGAAAGGGTTATTTTAATTATATGAGCAATCTTTATACATTTTTTTATTCTTGAAAAAATGTAGTCTCAATTACATAGTAAGCCTTAGGAAATAGCATTAGATATTTAGTGCAAACTTACATACGAGTATACGCAATTAAATATATTTTTAAATATAATGCAGCGTAAAAAACCAAATCGATAAACAAGGATTGCAAATTATGCAAAATATTTAATGTCTATAAAACGAATTTTGATACAATAAATTCTTATTAGTAATATATGAAATTAATCTTTTGCTGGCACTTCAATAACTCTGGGCTTATCGATAATACGAGCTGTTTTATTGCCCTTTTCAACAATACCAATTATCCAAGCCTGATATCCCTCCTGCTTTTCTATATCTTTGCAATAAGCAGCAGCTTGTTCTCTTGGTAAACAGATAAGAAGACCTCCAGATGTTTCAGCTGAATGTCCTTGCAACAATTGAAACATATTTCCACAGGCTTTTGCAACTGCAGCCATCTTAGCAATTACAGGCAGGTTATGTATAACAAACGACACATCTTTTTTTTGATGCGAAGCAAGAGTTTGCGCGTGTCCTAATAATCCAAAGCCGGTAATATCAGTAGATCCATGAGCGTTGTATTTGTGCATTAGGCGAGCGGCTGTTCGATTCAAACGGGCCATTGAACTCATTGCTCGATGGTATGCTTTGCGGACGTCTTCTTCGGAAACTACAAGTTTAATGCGATTCCACCGCTCTGGTTGATCTAACCACTGGTGAGCGTTCACAGCAACTTGAGTTCCGAGTGGTTTAGTGAGTACCAATACATCACCTACAACAGCATTATCCGGAACTATATACTCATTAGGTTGACATATGGTTGAAGCCACTCCACCAATGGTACACCAAGGATTCACTACACTTTGCCCTCCTGTAACAGTGGTTCCCGCTTCCAACGCCGAATCTTTAAAACCACGCATTATAAGTGGAACGACTACATCGCGCTCTTTTTCGGTCATTTTTGTGCTTACAGCAAGCAGCATTAACATGTTATCGCAATCTGTTACACCCATTGCATACAAGTCACTTAAAACGTTGGCACATGCTATCTTTCCCATCATATAAGGATCATCAACAATGGGATAGAAAAAATCGGTTGTCTGAACTAAACAGAGACCCCCGTGACGTAGGGGGATAACAGAGCAATCCAAGCCGATCCCAATGCGTGGTATAGCCATATTCATAAACTGAGCATCTTGATCTGAGGCATTGGAATAATCCTGCTGCAATGCCGAAACAAGTTTACCAAGAACTTCTTGTGGCACTTTACAACCACGTCCCTTTAAATCCGCAAACCTAGTCAGTCTGAAAGAGGGTTCCAGATCATGAGCAGTTGGATCAAATGGTCGTCGGAGTTCGGCCCCACTACCACTTCCTTGCAATTCAAGATGTGCAGAATTCAATGCTTCCACTTGGTAACTCATTGTAAATTCCCTGTATTTCAACTAATAAAAACTAACTTTGTGCAAAGTCGTTTAAAATCAAACACCACAACTACGAGCCAACGACTACGATTTGATAGAAAGGTTAAGTATTATTAATGGCTACCTTTAGCGCTCGCTTCGACAAATAACTCACATTCTCCCTCGACACACACACTATTGTCGTTGGCCATGCATGTATATAAAATTTTAACCCGAAGCTGCGCTAGTATGAGTATTCGTCACTTTTATTGGCTGATTTAGCAATGGCGGTATGAATCGGGCGAAGTCAGTATTTCTCCCGGCGGTCATAGTAGGCGATTGAGTGTTTTCTGGCAGTGTTCATGGCATTTCAAGAATCGTATTGTTGTCAATTTCTATCATCAAACAGGGTTACCAGAGTTCCCAGTTTTAAAATCTAGAAGTTTTAAGTATCTCTTTTTATTAATTGTTTTTAAGAATTCATTAATATATGTTAATATATAAATTGCCCAAGTCGTATGTTTTTAATAATTAACAAGCGAGCTATTGAGCTGTATTTGTGTATTAAATTTTATGCCAAAAAATGAGTGTTTCTGCTTTGCTCTGCTTCAGTCAGATATGAGTCAACGAAAAAATAGTGTTATCTGAAAATATAAAATTAAATTATTGCATTTATTATGAATATTTTGAAATCGTTTAATATATAAATTTTAATAAAATTGTGTAAATTTTTTTAAAACACATATCAGAAATCATAGCATTGGCTCAGTATATAAACATGTTAAATTCACCCTTCTATAAAAAATTAGATCTTAATGTAATTATTTTACAATTCGGAACACATATTCCACACACATAATTTGTTTTAGTATTTTTTTTCAAATTGTCCGATAGAATTAAGATCGAGCAAGTATTTTGTTTCGCGATTAAATTAAATTAAAATTCTTTAAAAGCGATTCAGCTTCAAGAGGAATTGTAAATACCTCTTTCGGTAAGGTGTGCAATTAAATTGACTTTAGGAAGAATTTATTCAAAATATGTATCACTTAGGATATGTTAGAGCAAAATCTATTTGGAATAGGAAAAAATTAAAGTCAATATCCGACAATCCTACTGATTAATGAAACAATAAAATGGTTCTGTTATAACAATTTCGTTAGCAACAATTATGACAGATCTCCTGCTATAACAAAATGTTTATGAAGACAGTAAGTTAGTTTGATACTGTCATGATAATGCGGTACAATTTAATAATATAGATGTGATCGCTTTACGATTTACATGTGTGAAACATTTTTGTTCTTTCAGTTTAGTGAAATAAATAAGACCCCGAAAGAAGCTTTATAAATAGTTAAGCAGCTTACATTATACTAAATTAGTTAAATATATTTTCTCAGGAGAATGATGTGTTTCACAGAAATTTGATGAAATTGTTTCTTTAGACTTTTACACATAAACGAAAGACTTAAGCAACGAACTATATCCGTGTTCACGTCAATGTCGAATTTTCTCTTCAACAAACCTGTTTGAATATAAATATGACTAAGTTACTACTTACATGCACTTTCCTTTTGTGTTTATGTGCAACAGTGAAGTCAGAATATGCGTTTAATGAGCCAAAATATAAGTGTCCAGCAAAGTGAGGATTTATTTAATGCATATATGAAGATACGGGTAATAACATAATGCTTTTTAAGACCGAAAGTTATATATCCATGTACCTGTTGGAAAAACTCCGATGTAGGCATCTATGTGCGATGTGAAAACACGAACTTAGCGACGCTCTCAATTGCTCTTGAAAATATCGGAACATTGGGTATTCCTGTAGAGCAGTTGGAAATTTTAAAGGGTCATTTCGGTAAAACAAATTCTAAATTCATCTTAACTGGAATATATTTATGTACGAACGTTTATACCACTGCTTGCCTTTTACAGTACGTTTATATGGGCCAGTGTTCTCGACTGTTAGAACTAGATTGCTTACCATATCTGATACGCCTATAGTAACCATTGAGGACTACCCATTCTTTGGTGTGAACAAAACTATAGAGGAGCTGCACTTACTTCACACCAATTTAACATCGTTTACTCCACTATCGTTTGGGGTATTTTTAAATTAATTTTTACTGACTTTATTTTAAGCCAGGTAATTGTTCATTTATAGATATTAGGAAATGCCAAAGAACTAATAATTGATGGGCATTCGTTGCAAAGTATCAGTAAGAATACTTTCGATGGCCAAAACATTGGTAATAAGCTAGAAGTCTTAAGAATTATCAACGGACCTTTAAATGATGTTCCAATTGAAACCTTTCAGGTATGCGTATTTAGTATACAACATTTGTATAATTAAAGTCTAGAAATATTTTAAACCAAATTATTAATTATGCTTTATCAAAATTCAGCCTCTTCGAAAACTTAGGGTTCTTGACTTACATGGCAACCATTTAGAGAATCTCAAAAAGAATCAATTCAAGAATCTAAGATCTGTGGAGGTCTTAGATATTAGTTTCAATAACCTTAAAAAACTTGAAGCACAGCATATCTCAGACTTAACTAAGTTGGGTTGGTGTAATGCATCTAATAATGCGTTATCAGAAATTTCGAGGTGTGTACCTTCCATGAACTTTCAACATACTTTTTTGTAAAATAAACTTTTTTATTATATATTTAGAGGAACATTTGCTCGTAACTCCGTTTTGAAATTATTGAATTTATCGCATAACAACATCACTCGCCTGGATGTGAATAGTTTCCGTGGAATGCGCTTTTTAAGGTAAATTTTGAATAAGTTTTACATTTTACGCCACATGTTACACGTAGTGTAACAAATTTTTTTCTTGCAGAAACGTATACGTTTTGAGATTAGAGGTAGGCTGAGAGATATTAAGCTAACAGCTTCGCTTTTGAGTTAAATTTTATGTCTAACAAAGCTTTTGGCAAACCGCAAAATCTGCATCTGCTATTCATATTATTGGAAAAGTTAAAAAATATGCCAAACGTCAACTCTCTTAAAACACAATTTGTGTCATCATTATATGTATATATCATTATAGATATCAAATCGAACTTTAGTACATACATAGGTATGTATAAATGTGAAAATTTGGGTTAGGTATGCTGGTATTCCTTTGTCCGATTCTCTCTGTGATATCCTTAGAAATAGTTAATTTGGTATTAGATTATCAAAATAACATCCATTGATAGGCTGTTTCGTTGATATTGGTTATTAATCTCGCCTAAAATGTAGACTGAGTTAATTTTTTTTATTCCCTTGCAATATATTGATACAGGAGTATTATTTAACCGAAATAGTTACAGAGTTACACATATATATAAAAAATTATGAGGACGACAAGGCGAGTTGAATTCCATGTGACTGTCTGTTCTTCCGTCCATGCATGCTGTAACTTGAGTAAAAATTAATATATATTTTTAAAAAATATAAAAAGCCATAACTAAGTCGATAATTAAGATAGAAAATTGTAATTAAGGAAGGGAGTGTCCCCTGTGGTTAGAAAGTCTTTAAAATGTGGGTGACCCACCCTCCAATAAATTTAATGTACATATCTCACAAGCCACTAAAGCTAAGACAATCTTATCTTATGTCGGGAAATGACCGAAATCCCCACAATTTTTAATCCCATTTGATTCTTTCACCTCACAGTGTATAAATCGAGAGTCTTGACGTTATCAAAATAAAACTTTCTGCTAATATTGCCCTTAAGGTATACCATCTAACTTTTATTATTTAATTAAATAGATGCCCCCAGATACTGGATATGTAGGTTTCAGTGTTTGAGGCTGACTTTTTACCAAAAATATAGGTCAATTTGTGAGATATATTATTGAAACTTGGAGAGAATATTTTATGATAATAATGTGCGTTTGTGGCATAAATTGGAGAAATCGGTTTCATACTTTCCTAGCTCCATTGTACCTAATATAGAGATTTTCGAACTTCTGGTTGATTTTATACCGCTTCAATCGTTCAATATATGAGTTGTCTTAAAGAAAATCAGTGTTAACCTTCTTCTAATAATGGTATATCTTTGTGCCTAAAATGGTTAAAATCAGATCAATATTACTCCTAGCAACATTTTTATCCCTAAGCAGGGTTAACTTAAGTTTTCCCCGAAGTTTGTTACACCCTGAAAGAAATGTCGGAGACCCTATGAAGTACATATTAGGTTTAGTAAAAAGAAAAGATGGCGTATTTATCTGTATCTCGCGTTGTCTAATCTGGTCCGGCTAGATGGCATTAGAAAGATGACATTTCGTACTAAAAAAGCTTTTCTGACAGTTTTGTGATTGATTGATCCAGTTTTGTTTGAGCGTGCGTCAAAAATGGACACTAGCAAAGAGAAAATAGCTATATTTTACAAGTTTTCTTCGATAAGAGTGAAAACGCAAGCCAGGCGGCTGAAAATGTGAATAATGTTTATGGTTCTGATACTGTAACAGCCAATCATGCACAATTTTGGTTTCGTCGATTCCGTTTCGGTAATTTCGAAGTCAAAGATGCACCACGATCTGGAAGACCAATTATCGAAAGAATCGATCAAATAATGGAATTCGCCGAGTCCAAACCATTTGGAACCATTTAAACAAGGCTGGATATGAAAAGTAATAATTAAAGCCTTCACTAATATATGTATATATAAATAATCAGCATGACGAGCTGAGTCGATTTAACCATGTCCGCCTGTCTCTCCATCTGTATATACGCGAACTAGTCGCTCAGTTTTTGAGATATCGATTTGAAATACGTCTTTTTCTACCAAAAAACCTGTTCATTTGTTGGAACCAACATACAAATTGACTAATCAAAATCAAGTTCTTGTACGGATTTTTTAATTTTATTTGATGGCATGGATTATTGTTCAAGATAACGCTATGATCTCCGAACAAATTGTTTGGATCGGACATACAAGTATAGCTGTCATTTCAACTGACCGATTAAAATCAAGATAAAAAATATAATAAAATATCTTCGGTGCAGACAAAGTTAACGTTTTTTCTTTGTTAATATAAAGTTTAGCAACATCTGAAAGTATTTCCGCGGCTTGTATTCTTGCAAATTGCAAGAGTATAAAATCGGTTATACCAGTTAGTGAGCATTAAAAGTGTACATTCGTACTTATTTACTAAATTTCATGACCATGCTACTTTGAAAAGAAAAGAACGATTCCATTTACCCTATTTAGATAATTAATAATTACTATTGTTTCTTTTTATTCTATTAATTTAATAGACGTTTGTTTTTGAGTGATAATAAAATAAATGATGTTGGGCGAGGCACTTTCGGCTCCATCGGGAAAATCGGCACTATTGATTTGGCTAGAAACTTTTTGAAAAAAGTTGAATTTCAAATGTTTTCTCAACTTAATTACGTTGAGGTAAATATAATAATTTATGTTATTGTATGAAATTATATCTATTAATTAAAATTTGTATTTTAGCTGATTGATTTGGCAGAAAATAATATAACGATCGTGGAAAAGCACTCTTTCAAAGATATATACCAATCGATAATAAATATTTCACATAACGCTTTGGAAAAAATAGAATCACTGGCTTTTGAAAATTGTGTAAACATTACAATTTTAGACTTGTCTTTTAATAGGCTTACGAATTTCTCACGAAATGCATTTGATCTCACTACTTTTGCCACAGAGTTTCAAGTGAGCTTTAATTTCCTCACAAATTTAGCACAGGTGAGTGGTTTAATACATTTTATAAGAGCCAAATTGAAACACTTATTTTTAATCCAGGTGCCTTTCCAAAATATGACAGGGATCAAAGTTATAAATGCATCGCATAATTATATAGCAGAGGTGCCGAAGAACTGTTTTCCAAAGCTATATGAGCTGCACACTATAGACATTTCACACAACAACATCTCATTGATTGCCAACGGTGTTTTTCAGACACTTTTCTCACTACGCTTACTAAATCTTAGCCACAATAGCCTAACGGAGATTAAGTCTTCAGTTTTTGGAACGCTTCCCACATTGCTGGACATGAATCTCAGCCACAATCAATTAACTTCGATTGTTCGCGGAGCCCTGGCCAAGATAACAAGTTTGCGTTTTTTAGACCTCAGCAACAATAAGCTCGAAAAGCTTTTTCAAATTCCAATTTCTCTGAATGTGCTCAATTTGGAAAGCAATCGCCTAACCATTATACCAGCAGGCACTTGGCCGGTTATGAATTCTTTGCTGTTTTTGAACTTAAATGACAATCAAATCGGAGATTCATTATCAGCTCAAAGTTTCACGGGGCTGCTTGTATTACAAAGATTGCTGTTAAATAAAAATGGCATAACCGTGCCGCCGATTGAGTGTTTGGCAGGCATGTCAACACTTCAGTATTTACACTTAGAGGTAAGTTTAACATGCTACACAAAAGGTGACATCCAAATTAGAAATGTCAAACAAGTAATGTTCTATGATCTAAATCTTTATTTACTCGTTTGGCTTAAATTACTTGTAATGGATTTGCTTATACTACCAAATAATTTATTTATTTATTAGCAAAACAATATAAGAAAATTGGATAAGAGTGCTTTCGGAAAATTGCCAGTCTTGTTTGAACTTAACTTGCATGCTAACGGTGTTCAGGATATCAGGTTGGTATTACTCGACTAGTGTTTTTGAACAAGCTGTCGACTTTCCTAGAGTCAGTTTAGGTGCTTTGAATTTAGTGGCAATATTCAATTTTCTAGGATTCGATCTTATCGATTATCTACACATTCAAAGAATTTAAGATACACATTTTTAATCCATATATGTTTTTGAAGGAGTGTTATGATTTTCGATTGCTCTGGAAACTTTTCATTGCCCATACATATATCATCATCGTATATTACTAAAAAAATATATATTTAAAATTTAAGCAAGCGTTCCTTCGAAGGTCTATTGCAATTGCTTACGCTCAATCTGTCCTCCAACGCCATTAAAAGTATCCCACCGGACTCATTTATTGGCTTACCTTCTCTAAGGAAGTTGGATTTATCGTTTAACCAAATATCAAAGCTGGATAATAAAACAAATGGGGTACTTGACGATTTGCTCAGTTTGGAAGAGGTATGAACACAAATGTCAATAGTTGTAAAATTATGAAAATAATGTAAATAATAATTGATTCATTTCAGTTGAATTTGAGTCACAACAAAATAAGTTTTGTCACCAAAAAGACTTTTCCATCTAATCAATATATACCTTATAACTTGAAGAGTTTGGACCTAAGCTACAATCAAATGCCGGTGTTGACGTACGATATCACTTTCGGCACTAAAAAACTGCTGACTTTAAATGTATCTAACAATAATATAAATGAAATCCGAAGAGGTGTTCTAGCAAACTTTACAGAACTGCAATCACTGGATTTATCCAATAATGAACTAAGTAACTTGGCATCCGAAGCACATGTATTTGACCTCCCGAAGAATCTTACCAACATCAATTTGCGAAACAATCAGATATATAAAATACCAATTACAAATTTTAAAAAGGACTTGCAATTCGAAAACATTGATCTGCGAAACAATAAATTGACCGATTTTCCTCAACCATTAGTGCTCATGCTTCGTAACGGCACCAATGTGTATTTTGCTGGAAATCCCTTGGATTGCAGTTGCGCTGTTCGCCCACTTAAGCATTTCACGATGGAAAAATCAAATTTAAATGATGACTTAGAAAATATTGAGTGTAGTACCCCGTCATTTCATAAAGACCAAAGGCTGGTGGAAGTGCTGGATGAGAATTTGCAATGTATATTAGAGGATAGAGATCGTTACAAAGGTGTAGCTTTCGAAGAGCTTTCAGATGTACAGTTTCGAGATATTAAAGTGTAAGTAATATGTGGCCTATTTGTTATGCTTTGAACTAATGTTTTTCCACTTATTGTCTAGCACTGATTACGGGAATCTTACGGTACGTTTCTTTGTTACGGCTGCGAGAGATATAGCCGACTTTTTAATTTATATTCGAAACTACGAAAACGATATTTTGTATCAAGGAGAGGTAGCGTATAATGAGCGGACGCATGAGATATCCATCGAAACTATTCGGGACCAGATTAAATGGCAAAAAGCGGAGATATGCATAATATCGAAGGATAGCAATGGCATAACAGGTCGTTGGTTTAGTGCACAGTGTACAAATCTGCCCGATTTGAAACGAAAACGTAAAGGCATATTCACGTTTTCTGCATTTAGTTCCGCTAATAGTAAAACGGCTAAAACTATGATACCGATAATCATATTCTTTTTAACGGGCTACTTTTACTCTGCGCTATCAACCCCAATTTAATTCATCACTGCCAAAGTCATTGTATTCATACATACAAGTATATTCATATTTATGTATGTATGTATTTTTTATAGCAAAAATCATTTCTTTTGTGATATTGTTTTAAAAAAATTTGATTTAATAAAGTTGATTTTGTTTAGATATTGTTGCATTATGGAATCACAATTATAAGTAAATTAATAAACAGTTCAGAGGCAACTATTCGATTTTCAGAACATTATCTAGCAAGAAAAAACACGATATCCGCTATATTTGCTGTAAACAATAATAATATTTATTTAAACCAAAGCATACGCATTAAATATCCATTTTCATTTGTAATGAAGTAAAAAATTATTTTGATTTTTTATATATAAATGTGTCATGTACAGAACCGAAGATATGTATGTTGATTAAATATAATTCCAGCTATTTATGATTAAAAGTAATTTCAAATAAGGCTAAAATCATATCGCGCATTAGAACGCACTTGTGAAAATATTATATCATATATGAACTTACATATGCATATAATATTTTTTCGAAATTAATTTATATTACTTCGAATCATATGCACATGCATATAAGCGCTTTGATTTTCGATTTGCCGATTAGGCACTAAATAACAATCGGATTTGGTATTGGGTGCGTTCGTTTTTATGAATGAAAGAAAACACGGTTGCAATGAGAAAAGCTCAACCTAACTGTGCTCCTGACTCTCTCGGCGAGTGCCATGGAGAAGACAACTAAACTTTCGCACGACAGGATATGCTCATTCTTTATTGATTTTCATATGGATAAGTTGAATAACAAGTCAAAGCAATGCGCCCGTGAATAAGACAGCTTTACTTACAGTGGGGAGTCCGTATTGAATAGTTCAGGTCAAAGTGAAAATAAAAGGCTAATCAAATCAAATGTTTGATTAAATAATTCCCCTAAGCTGCTAAAGTGTTACATAAAAAATATAGAGAAAAATTTTAGCGGACTTAAATAAATAAATTCATTGTGTAACAGCTCGAAGAAATGTGCTAATTGTTAAATTATTATTGCTTTACGTTAAACACACACATTTTTAAATGTTGCGAAAAATGTATCCTAGCCGAGTGAAGAAATAGAGGTCAAAGGAGAACCATTGATTTTACAAAATACATGTTATTTAAGTCGACTTGTCGTTTAATATTGTTTGCCAAAAGCTGAAAATAGAAGTTAAAAAAGTGAATTATGCCTGCAATAAGATGTAATTATATAATTAAAATTTGCAAAATGTAAAGTGCAAAGGAATCCGACTTAGTGAACCACTGTACATCTGCACAGGGGTGCTCCTGAAACTTAAAGTCATAGTGACCCGTATGCGTACATATACGTATATTCATCCGTATGTATGTACATGTGTACGAGTACAATAAGTCATTTTGAGTATCGGAATTTTAGGTACAATGGGAAACTGAAGGATGTGTTAAGTGTTTTTTTTTTCGGTATGCTCGGTGCTCGATACAAGTGTGTATTTATGTGTATATATAATTCATGAATATATATGTACATATACATACATATATGCATACCGATATGCTTACGTAGATATGTATAGATCACAGTATGTGCAGTACTGTTCGCGATGACGAAGAAAGTGAATGTGCATCATTCATATTCAATGAAAATGAAAACAATTACATAATCAAATAAAATTCTTCATTCAGCAGCAGCGCAGTTACCAAAATAGTTATAAATTAAAGTAAAAGTACCTGTTTGAAATTCAAAGCGTTAAAAAAACAAAAAGTATAAAAAAAAATTAAAAAACATAAATCGCCACCCTAGTATTTCCTAATCCCAAATCGAAATTTACAAATCTAATTTTATGAAACGCGTAAGTTTTTCACAATTCAAATAAAGCAGATATTTAATCCGAAAATACCAAAAAATCGAGAACGCGGTGCAGCGGTAAAAGTGTGAAAATGTTACGGTGTTTCGGAAATTCGAAATAGGAAGCATGCCAAGAACATAAGTTATATAATTATTACAGTGCCGATTTTACCACAGCTTTTGTTACAACACGAAATGTACGCTTAGTGTACGAATTGTAACTGCTTTTGGCAAAATACTTAAATAAATGTAAACGAATAAGGTATTTAACCAATGAAGTAGATAATTTTAATATTACAATCAAAGAAAAAACACACAATTACTTTTAACGCTCAAATACTTATTTTGTATGTAATTAATATTATTAGCGAGTATGCCAATATTCTTAACTGATTACTTACATATAAACGTAACAATTACCGTAGTAACTAGCAACATCGATACTCTCTCCCTGCCTATTTAATAATTGTAAAAACATACATATGTGCGTAGCAGTTCCCATTAGAAATTCAAGTGCTATTGTACCTACAGCTCTACAGTAAAGTAATACATATATACATACATATATATATATATATATACTATATCTATATATATAGTAAAATAACAAATTTACACGAGTACGTATAGTTTATATTCGTTTTTCGTACTGTACCCACCAAAACCACAATAGAATCTACAACGGCAACGAAATCTTCATATACCACAATATAGAGGACGCGTCGAACGACTACTGAAAAGCAAAGCACAATTAAAAAGTGGAAGTGCAAAGTTGAATGGAATCTGGCGCATCTGCGACACTACCACCCAATCAGACACCTACCCACCACCACCCATCTACCGTTCAACCGAGGAAAGCTAAATGAAGTGAACTCCTACCTCGGCACTCGTACAAAGTATACCCACTGCACAATATACGATAACATGTTTGTTTCCGCATGTCAATAATCCATATGCAGTACGTACTCGTATGTATATGTTTCTGTACACACACATATATCAAGGATATTCGTGCAAACACGTACGTACGTAGTGACAAAACCGTAAAAGTTTCGCCAACGCAATTATAAAAGTGAACGAGCAAAAATAAAGTAGTGAAAGGTATGGTGACAGACAACTGCGCTGGCAGTGTGAGCAGTGTCCCGCATACCGATCGTTCACGCTAAGCTTCTTGTGGAGATAAAATGCACGTTAAACATACTCAGCGCAGAGTTAGTGGACCTGGAGCATTTGGAACATCCAACAATCAATGGTAGGATATCCAGTACTGTGTGTGTTCATTCTACTGAAGCTATACTCACAATTTGCATTAATACAACTTTTTCATTTCACATACATACATACATTCACATATACTATGTACATTCATGTATGAAACAATTACCTATCTTGGCATAAATTTGCACATTAAAATATAACGGATCAACCATAAACATTTCAATAAGTAAATATAATTGATATTGTTGTTTCTTAATAGAAGCTTTTGCTTCATTAGTGGATGGTTCGTTGTACTATTTTTATGATTAGTGAAGCAAAAAATAATGCAACACATATAAACATAAGGACATATGGAGCAGCCTGTAAATATTATACCACAACACAAAAAACCTTAAAATTTTAATGCAAGTTGTTTTTATATTTTTATTTTGATCATAACGGCCATCAACCAATCAAATTAGCTGATTGATTCATTCTTACTAAGTTTTGAGTCCTCTAAATCAGAATTTTAGTTTTAAGAAAATGTGATCAAGAAAATCAAGGATTTTTTCACTCGGTACAATCAATTACATTTCACAACATTTTTATAACGCTTTTTTTAGCTTCACCTGTATGTTTGTAACTTTTTTCAGTCCGTCTGACTGTGCAAGCGATAACTTGAGTATAAATTGAGATATCTTGATGAAACTTGCTACATATGTTCCTTGGCACCCAAGAGAGATCGGTATGGCGCATGGGCGTAATTGGACCACTGTCACAACTACAAAACGTCATTAAAATAAAACCTATAAACACCATAACTAAGCACTAAGTTAAGATACCGAACTGTAATTTGATACGGGGGATCGCGGTAATAAGGAACACCTCTGGTTTAATGTAAAACTGCAAACCGCTGAAGCTAGCTCAACCAAATTTGCTGATAGGAAGTCTTTTTAGAACCTTTTCTTACCCTGTGAAAATGAGTAAAATCAGATAATAACCAAGCCCACTCCTCATATAACGGTTATGTTGGAAACTACTAAAAGTGTGATAACTCGCTGAATAAATGCGCCACAAGCATTAAATTTCACAAACAAGATGGTAGAGAAAAGCTTTATATAAGGAGGTGTAAAAATTATACAATGGGTATGACACCACCAGCCTTTGGGTGAAATCCTAAACCTCAGAAACTATCCGACCAATTTCAACCAAATTAGGTGGGTAACCCAGCTATTTCTATCAAACACTGTGAAAATGACATATCACACAAATCCGAAGAATTTATGTTGTGTTTCTCAAGCAAAATAGCCAAAAAGGAAGGAAAGGTTAAGATCCTAGTGTGTTATACAGATGTACCTAAATCAAAGATGAACAGAATGTGGTCATAACAGTTCTAGGTGATTAAAATTTTTTTTCAACATGCTGCTTACTTTTTAGTAGTATTACTCATAAATTGAATTTAGAGTGACGTTACATGGTTAAATATTTACGCCCTTTGATTTTCTTTAATCTTTTGTTTTCGAAATACTATAAACGATCCGAATAGAAAGCTGATCCACCATTTGCAAAAGTTTAATGTTTGACTCAAATTTCTAGGTTTTGTTATATATTTTACATATATACAAAAAATAGAAAAAAACGTGGTTGCACCAAAGCTAGAATTCCCTTCATAAATACAAATGATTCTATACAGGAACTTGATTTTGATCAGTCAGTTTATTTGCCCGATCTGAACAATTCCTTCGGAGAATGTACCATTGCCTTGAAGAATAATCAGTAACAAATTTTGATTCTCGTTAAATGAAAAAGTTTTCCATACAAGCACTTCATTCCGATCGTTAAGTTTGTATAAGCAGCTACTTGAAGAGTAAAGGATAGGAAGTATAGCGATATCTCAAAAACTGAGAGACTAGTTCGCCTATATAGAGACGGACAGACAAATGACAAACTTCGAACACTTAATATACCCTGTTCAGGGTATAATAATACGCAAAGTGACTTACATAAATTGTATTGCAACCTGTTGTTGCGGCATACGTAGGAAAAGGGGTGACATCGAGTCTTGCGTGCTAGGGCAATACTTCGGATCTTGTTCGTAAAAGTTCGCTGCAATTCTATTAAAGGTTGCATTCAATTTCAAATATTTGTTGAGAAATGTAATTTAGTATCTATTTTCTGTACGTAATATGCAAATACGTAAACAAATATGCAAAATATAATAAAGAATGGTCCATGAAAATAAAAGTTAGTTAAAAAAAATATATTTTTGATTTTGTGCCGCGTACTGATGATGAACAAAAAAAGTTTTCTCCATTGAAATGTTTCCTCTTTTTCAGATCCCAGTATTAATTTTTAGCAAGTCTATCCGCGGAGAGAAGCTACAAATTCTTGCTCACCTTAGATTTTACTATGCCAACCGACATTTGCCTTGGAAGATGTTCATTTTAAAGTTTTTTCGGAAAAATTTTAATCTCAGTTAGGATGTTTTTCATTTCTAATTTAGAAAACTGTCTTTTATAATATTTTTTCAAGAGAATTCTGGTTGCAAAACATTGATCATAGTCGGTAACTCTCTCGCCTTTGTCATCTGTATCAGCTTTAAGGAAGTTTCCTAAATAGAACTTATTGATAATTGTAATTTTTATTTATATATAAAATAAAACTTAAAAAAGAAAAATAAATTGTAATTAATTAATGCATATATTTTAATAATTCTCTTGAATATTCATAATAAAAATATTATTATGATGTTATACATACACACATACATATGCACATTAATATACTAGTTTACTATAAACACGTAAGGAAGGCTAAGTTCGGATGTAACCGAACATTTTATACTCTCGCAATTTTCAATGATCAAAGCCGGGACAAATTTTCAAAACATTTAAAAAGGTTGCGAACGAATTCAATATTCGTTATTCGACGAAATCGTAAATGGACCAGAATCATATTTGGTATCTAATTTAAGCATATGTCATATAGATAATCACTTAGTCCTATATATGTATTTATATTAGAATCAATCTAACTAACACAAATCTCTATATTCACCATATAAGTGTTGCGGAAAAGTACATGAAGGTATCCAAATTTTTTGTTACCAAATGATTTAATGCTGCTTACTAAAATCTTATTCTTCTGTTGAGATATACGATGAGTTGTATACTCAACCCAAGGGATGAAATTTAAAATAGTCGGTATAAGATGGAAAAGTAATTGGAGCCGCGGACACCTTTATATTAGAGGTTTGGGTTTGGACAGATTTCATTCATATACAGCTAGTGGTTAAGGAAACAACGCTTACACGGACGAGCGAACAGACAGAAGGACAGAGAGTCAATCAGTCCTCAACTCGTCTCGTCATCCTGAGCATTTATATATACATCTCTCTATACAAAACACCGTTAGGTGAACGAAAATATTATTGTATACTCTCTGGCAATATGTTGCGGGAGTATAAAAAAAAGTTATATAAAATTGTATAAAAACCCGCACTTTTAGTTAATCTTATGTACGTGATTACAAAAACGTGTAAGAGCAAGTTGACGACAATTACTCATTGATAGTTTTGTATTCTTAATATTAAATAGTAAGTAATTATATGATTTCGCTTTTTGAATTAAGAACATATACATCTATTCACACACCATCGCACTTACATAAGTAAAGTTTATTGAGGAAAAATATCTAAAGTAAATAATTTTGTGTCTTACCATGTTTTCAGGATTGGTATAAGGACAACAATTAAGGTACAAATTGACAGATTATTTTAAATATTTTCAATATAAATTTTTTTTACGCCTCCTCTAACTCCCATATTGAAAGCTTTAATATGATTTAGTTGGCTTCAGTATTTTTGCATATTCTATCATTATTTTTACTATTCTTCAAATCCTATCTAAAAACAACCTTACATACGTAAATGTATGTATGTACCTTAGCTATTTCTGATATACTCGTTATGCAATATAATATGTATATTTATACCACAAGCAATATTTTTACTAAAACTTTATAATTCAACGGTAATATGTTAGATACATTTCCTTCCATTTGATATAATAACTACTTTCGTACATACATAATTGCTTTTACCTATACACATCTACAATGCAGTAAATGCCTAACATATTTTTTCAAATTTTATCATTACAAAAGACTGTCCGAGGGTATCTTTATTTTAGTCCTGCTTGCATTAAAAAAAATCACTACATAAGCGTCAATTCATTTTAGAGTCCAATGCACTTAAATTTCACTAAACCATTTTATTTAATATTTCGTGGTTTTTAAAGAGATTAACCCGATTTCTATATCTCAATTATAGTTTCTGTTAATAAAACTGACTAATTTACAAGCATTAATATAATGTTAAAGGACACATTCCTTTACTCAAATAGCTCAATCAGATAGCTCTTAAAGCATAGTCCGAACACAATTGCGTTAGAAAAAGAGTTTAATTGTTTCTTAAATCTTATATTATAGAGTTTGCAGAAGTAAGGTTCCTTCATCGTTCATCGTGAAGACATAAAAAGCAATAAAATACATACATTTATTGAGCAAGTAAAGTCGTTATCTAATACCTGCGGTATGTAATTAAACACAAGGTCGTAAGGCAAGAATATTACGATAAATATAAGAAACCGCATGTGTACCGTTATTTATTAACTCGTACCCAATTTACATGGGATAAACTAAAGCAAATATATTAATATTATAGTAGCATTACTATGTACAGGATATTCATATTTCACTCTGTAAGTAATAACCTTTATCTAATCTTTATTCGACAGTATGTGATTTTTGATATATCACTTTCCTCAAACCTTCGTCCTTTAAGCACGAAGTTCCTTAGCACGTTTTACAACTTTCTAATATTATTAAGCATTTTCGAATATTTTTTCAGTAGTATAATTAAACATTCCCACAAAAAAATGTTACTTTTTGTACTTCTGGCATGATCTACCATTTTATTTATTATTCCTCGGAATCAGAAATAATTAATTTCGAACCAATCTTCTCCAGCTATCTCAATTATTTTACCCATCACCTTTTATTTTACTCAAACAGTTTCTCACAACACACTGGTTCAAGACAATTTAATCTACAAATAATTAAACTTTTCACATTTCTAAACTACAAAATAGAAAACAAAACTAGCTTTTAGTGCCATAACAAAATAATAATAAATAGCATACAAGTATATTTAAAAAGTTAAATCTATAGACAAGATAGATATCGTTAAAGTAATATATGAATATATACAATATACGTAAAAAATCATATTTGCTTAGACTGTATTGAATATCAAAAAAAATTGCAATTATGCTCAATTATTCGCGTACTAAATTTTCCCACTCACACACATATCCAAAAGGAATTTTTTATATAGCATGAAACGAATTTTTATTACTTTTGCATAAATTTAAGTATTTTCTCTCTCATATTGTATGTTAATACGATGGTATTTAATTTTGGAAAAAAATAATAATAATAAGTGTAAAGGGTTTTGATTTGTAATACAAATTGAGCACACCATCGTAAACAAATTGAGTGGAGACTGATCTGATTAATATCCGAAATATTCGCCTTCTAGTAAACAAGCAAGTCAGTAAACTGGTTATAAGGGTCATATTTCTTTGTACATTGCAAATAGAATAATGTTTTTTTTCAGTAAGAAAAATAAATTAAAGTACACCGTGAAATATGGTGTCAATCAGTTTGAATGTTTATAAATTAAACAATGGCAGGTTGAAAAGTCAGCATCGATTCTGAAACTGCTGAGAAAATCATACAAACGTTAACTCCGGTCGCAACGAATACTCTTCACAAATAAAGATGTTTTCATACAAGAACTAAATATAGCATATGGCCCAATCTGGAAAATTTCTAGAAATATTTTATCGTTGTCTTGGACAATAATCCATGCTAAATTTGTTAAAGATATCTCGTCAACCAAAAAAGAACTTCATTTTGATTGTTCAGATTGTTTGGCAGCTATATGCTGTAATGGTCCAATATCGGCGGTTGCGACAAATGACCAGCTTCCTGGGGAGAAAAGCAAAGGTTTAATTCAATATCTCAAAACTGCGGGACCAGTTCGCTTATGTGCAGACAGATGGGCATGGCTAAATTGACTCAGCATGTCAAGGGATTTATTTATATGTCTGTATATATATATTTTCGTCGAAGAACCCACGTTTCCATCTGGCTGTTGAAAACTTTGTAACATTATATGCCCTATTCAGTGTACAATAAATATCAATTACGTTTAAATTTCGGATTTCCTAAACCATTTATCTCTATTAGATCCAATAATAAATATTTGTAAATGGTATGTTTCGTCAATATTTCATGTTCTTTATGAGCTTTTTGTTGAGTGCGCAATGTCTGATTATATTGGAAACACCGAAATCATTATTGGTGCTCCCAGGTTCAATAGTCGGTTACGAGTATTACGAATACCAAGGAATCTTGTTCAATGCGACTAAAGTAGAATTGAACAAACTCTGACCGTGTGTACATGAACAAATAGCCTTTTAGACCCAATCGTCTTTCAATTGTTACAACCTGGGCGGAAATTTTCAATGACTGAGTTGCTTATTGTTGAGAAACAGGGCGGGCTGCTGTTAACTGAGTTAACACTCTTTATGATAAAATGATCATTGATCACAGCGATTGAAATATCAGAGCAAGAAGTTTGTTTTGTTTCTACATTTGGAAAGTAAAAATATTACTTATCCGATACATATGTAAGGTAGAAAAGAATTTTACTCCATAGTACTCCAAATTAAGATACAAAGCTATTATTTGATACAGTAGTGAAGGGCGAAGTATTGAGGGCACTTATGGGGAGAAATTTATTTTAAAAGTGGGCATGACCCCGCCCCCTAATATGTTTAATGTACATATCTCCAAAACTATTGTAGCTATTTCAACCAAGTTTACTCAAGCCAAAATTTTTGTGGAACCTCCTTTGACAATGTTAAAATAGATGAAATCGGATTATATCTACGCCCACTCTCCATGTAACGGTTATGTTGATTACTACTAAAAAGTTAATAGATCACTAAATAAATACGTCAGAATCATTAAATTTTACAAATAAGATGGTAGGGAAAGGCTTCATAGAAGGCGGTATAAAAATTGGTCAATGGGCGTGACACCGTCTACCTTCAGGTGAAATCCTATACCTCAGGGAGCCAATGTCTACCAAATTCAGTAAATAGCCTATAACCTGATAATCTTATATTACAGTGTGAAAAAGTTATTTTACTACACCTACATACTTCTCATACAACACAACTTTAAATTTCATCTGATTCTTTCACTTTACAGTATACAAATCAAGCGCCATTGAATGTAGCGGGATAAAACTTTGCACAAAATGGTGCCTTTAAGCTATTCCATCTCAAGCCTAAAAATTACCTAAATCGAGCCATAACTGTTCAAGCCCCCAGATAAGAAGTATGCAGACCCCAGTATCTATGGTTGACTTTTTACCGGAAATATCAGTCAATGTGTAAAACATATTATTGAAATTTGGAGAGAATTCTTTCGTGGCAATGGTAAATCTGTTTGAATCGAGTCAATACTTCTATTAGCCACAAAATACCTAATATAAAGATTTTGCAACTTTATCCCACATATATCAACTAATAAAGGAGTTATCTCAATGAAATTAAGTGAGCGATTTTTTCTAATAATATTGTATTTTGTACCTAAAATGGATAAAATCGAGTGAAAATTTGCCCTTACCCACATAAAACTAGTATCAAGATTTAAAAACATCCGGTTGACTTTACTTCTTATATATTGGTGATGGTATGGAAATAATCTTAATGAAACTCACATCATATTTTACTGTTAATAATATGTGGTAATGCCAAAAGTAGATAAAAATCGGGCCAATACTACCTGTAAAGTACGTTGTGTTTACCAAAAATATCACATATCATAACATTTAAGTTATGGTTAACCCTGGTATTCTATAATTAACAATAAAGGAAAATACAACAAAATAAATTTTACAGCACTCCTTAGGTGGGTTCGACGGCCATTTGCATGGTACTCGTCAAACTTTGTTGATAGTGATCTCACAATTTGATGAGTCAAATGAAGGATCGGAATTGAAAGCAGCTTTTTATTTTAAGGACCAAATTATAATATTGGAAAGAAAATTGTTTGTTCTATTTCTATTATATCATAAATAGTAGAGCATTCCTGGGTATAAATTTATTTTAAATTTAATTTGCTCTTACTAAGGAATTTCGTTAAACAATTGATAAGATGCAAAGAGCAGCGGCAGCGGACCCAAAAAAGCTATGGATAATAAAGCAAATTTGTGTTTGAATCGCGTAAAGTAGACAGAGAGAGCAATGATCGGTATTGGGACATACATACGAACGTATGTTGCTTCCTCATCTGTTTTCAACAAATATTAATTTATGGCTTACGTTTTGTGGCAAATATTTAGACGCCAGCTTTTCGACTTCAACTCGTCTCGTCGCAACGGCATAGGTACATGTATGTGCATTATACCTACACTCTCATAATCGCTTGCTCATTTCTCTCACGACGTTTTCGCCTCCCAAATCATTGTGTTTTCATACACATGACAACATACATATGTATTTACATACACACAAATATATTCGAATATTCATATAAGCTCCGTTTAGTTAGACTGCGTTCACACTCGTAAGCTTTTGATGCTCATTATTGTCGTCCCTTAACTACCCCGACACGAGTTCGACAACTTGAGTCAAACAATTCACAAACAATCACATTCTTAAATTATTCTACGCGGTGCACAAAAATATTTTGGATGATCTAATTTGCATCCTTATTCACCCTTTTCTAAAACAATTATATTATATTATCCATATTTGCCTTTATATTTGCATATTATATAAAAAAATATATATAATAATATTAAAATTTTCGAACATTATGTCAATTTTTATTTGAAATCGAGCACTATTGCTACCATTAAAGGGCATTTAATAACGAAATGGAATACGGAATTGTGTAGCGAATTGCTACGAACAAGAACAGAGAACGTGTCACTAAAGCACGAGCAGCACGGAACGTCGTGTTTCCTTGTCGTCCCCTCGGCTACAAAAACTGGTTTAGGCGACAAAACCTCCTCGTCTGAACATAGTCTGATAAACAAAGCGCGCCCGAGCACGAGCGGCACGGTTCCTTCGTCTTTCCTCGTCTGCAAATAGCCGGTTTGGGCGACAAAAGATTTCGGGTGTTAACTGGTACTTACAAAGCAGATTTTTTATATTTTTTATGGGTAGCATTCATTCGGGAACCAATGATTGTTCAAGCCTGTAGCTATGTAACTGAAAAACTCCTCTCCGCAGCCTCTCCCATCAACACACAATTGGAGCAGAATGATCGATAGAACTACATACAATACATTTGGCACATGTACTCGTACATATTGACACTCTACAGTTCTATAGACACATTCCACAAAGCTATTACTAATGAAAGCGCTTTCAATATCTATTCAGCATAGAGTATTTTGTTCATTGCTTATTCCGGATAATTGCTTTAAATGTAGAATGCCAATGCTTTAATTTCCACTTTTATTATACAAAACTATATATGTATGTATATACATATATAGTATGTATATTCGTATGGTATACTCATACAGGCATAGAATGCACATGCAAATGTACTCACATACACAATTTATCTCGGTTATCCATATAAACACATATGTAATTATATATATATATCTATGTACTCTTAGGTATTTACTTAAATACATATACTTATGTAGTATGTAAATCCAAAATGTACAAACCTATATATACATATACATATATAATATGTAAGTATGTATGTATTAGGTTGTAACAGTTAATCGGGCTCGTACTTGCACCAATGCTGCTTTCCATTTCTGTATCTTTTCCAGCGATAGCAGAGAAAACTTGAACAGCGATCAACAACAGCAACAGATACCGTATCAACAACATCAGCAGCGTCTGTATCAGCAACAGCAACAATATCGACAGCAACAACATTCCCATCCGCATTTATTGCGACAGTCTCTGATCAACCTCACGAGCGCACACAACATCTCAAATAATATCGGTGTTTCGAACGCATCGGAACAGAACACAACAAGTAATAGAAACGGTGCAGTCGCGCCATCGTCGTCGTCCCTTAACTACCCCAACACCAACACCAACGCCAACAGCAATTCCAATACCAATATCAAGACCACCAATACCAACGCCAACACCAACACATTACACAAATTTATTTCCTGCAGTTGCGAATCACTGAAATGTGCCACATCAGCTGTTGCGGTTAAGTCATCGAAAAAGCGATCGGGCCACAGTTCTGGTGATCCCGACAGTGAATCATTGCTCGACAGCCAAAACGCCGATTATACTGATTACAACGTTACTTACTTGAGTACTGGCCACACTGGACACAGTGCGGGTTGCATCAGCAGCAGCATTAGTGGTGGGGGTGGTGATGATCAGCGATCGTTGCAGAGCGAATATCTATCAAGTCGTATTAGCGGCGTTTCCAAACAGCATTCGTACGACAGCAGTTATAGCGGGCAACTGCATGGTCTGACCTTAACCGCCAGGGAGCGTAATAGTGATACTGAACAACACCAACAACAACAATTGGACTGTATTGCCAATTCAACACGAGTGCCAAACAGTCCAATTAGTTGCACACACAGTAATTACAGCAATCAAAGTAATATCAGTGCGGGAACTGGTGCCGACGCCGGAGGGGGTGGAAGTGGTGGTGGTGGAAGTGACGTCGTCGGAGAAGAAGGCGGTGGTCCGTCCACCGTATGTGACGCATATAAGAATTACACTAATTACGCCACCACCAATAGTAATAGCACAAGTTACGGCAACGACTTCAATGACGACTTCAAGCATATAGTCGTTCATAATTTCAGCAATTCCGATCCAATAACTCGTTGTAACACCGTAAGCGGTGAAAGTGGCGGCGGCGACGGTGCCGTTAGCATCAACGACACTTTAAACACTCACTGTTCGCCACTGAAGCCACATTACAGCGATTGTAATATATATGCGAAACAGCAAGCTGAGTATTTTTCGAATTTAAAAAGTGATTTTGATCAACATGCGCAGCACGGTGATAAGCAGCAGTTAGTTAATAAGACATATATCTTCAAGTGTCTCGCTAATAGCCCCTCATTCCTCAGATCCAACAAGATTAAGGAACAATCGAAGAAACTACGCAACTTGTCGCTGAAAAACCGTACGGCTAAAAAGAAGGGTCAAATTATAAGCAAATCGAATGCGGTTTCTGATAATTCCCTTCATCCAGGAGATAAATACCTCAATTTATATCTAGTCGAGAAGAAAAACTCCCAACAACACTTGCAGCAATATCAATATCAACAGCAACAACAACCGCAGGCAGGACAATTCGAAACGATTGGTAGTGGAACGGATTCCCGGCCGATTGCAGGAAGTCGAAAGCAACAGCAACAACTCCTCGATCAGCAGCCAGTAGTTGCATCGCTTAGCAGAAATCTGCAACAGCAACAGTGCCTCGTTAACGGTTCGGTTCGAACGCATCCCACATATCGACATCAGTCTTCAATTAAACGCGCTTCGAAAGATTATAGCTGTACACTCACACCAACGCCATCGACGCATAGGAATCCAAAGGCCGCATCCAACAACCATAAAAGCTGCAATCTGAACGACAACGGCAACAAGCTAAGTGTTAGCACGAATTCGTGCAACAAACTGCACGTGTCCGCTGCGGGTACACATCCTTATGCCACTTCGCCCAAAAGTTCGCTATCGAGTAATGGACATCTGAACAAATATTGTCTGACGGACATAAGTCGTCGACGGAAGGCGGCGTTTAATCGACAACTTAGCGCCCCAACTGATTATACGCATTCTTCCAATAACGGTAACGGCAATAGCGGCTCACATTCAGCTAACGAGGCCACGTGCGAGTCGACATCGACTGTAGCCAGTGCAGGCGTGGGCCCGGCAACGGCAAAGACGTCCACATCGCTACAAAATTCCGTTCTAATAAAACCAACATCCACATCCAATTCGTGCACGAACAGTTTCAATCGAAGACACATTAAGCGCCAGAAGAATAACAAATTAAATGAGAGGTATGTATGGATGTGTATACACGATACATATTAATATACTACATCTTTACACACATACTTATGTTCTTATGTATTGTATAAATGCTTATATATTTATACACATACATACCGCAACGTCAAATGGGTTTTATAAACTATTATTTTCATATGCCCATATGTATGTGCTTTTGAAAACATACATAATCTGTAAATTCCAGTAAACTTTTGAAAACTTATTTATACACATGTTTATGTAGGTACCTAAGGTTATGAATCAGTGGACTTTTTCCACTTATATATTTATGTATGCAGGTACCCACACTCGTACTCGAACTTGTACTCGCAATTATTATACTGTAAATGTACTTCCACATGTAAACGAACTGAAAAGAAACTTTACAAACATCAGTAGCTAACAGCTCTGACCCCTAGATATCATTTGGTGCCTTTCGTAGCACGTGTGAGCGTGCGAAGGCAGCCAGTAGTCCAGTGGCTGCTCTAAACAAAAGACAGTTGGACCGAAATATCAAAGTTAGTATTCCTTTTACTTTTAAAAGCTCCAAATGTTTGGCACTTGAGACACCAATTATTTAAGCAGAACTTTTTGTGGTTTCATATACAGACATACAAAATATATGTATGTATATACATACATACATTCATATGTACTTATGTTACTACATCGTGCAACTATGCCAAAAGTCAATATTTAAAGCATACAAATTTCTTTTTCGAAAATGGATAATGTGAAAAATAATATAAAATGCTTTGTTCTCTAGTGATTAAACGTAGATTGCTAAAATTGTGTGTAAATAATTGTGGAAAGAATTCATGCCTAATATAAATAAGTATGTATGCATACATGATGCATGTATCATATACAGGTTTGGATTTGCGGAAATCAAATTAAATATAGAATAAAAATCGATTTGCAGCCTAAAAACCTTCCTAGCTGAAAAATTGCAAGGTGAAATCTGCGTATATACAATATATACATACGTACATACATTAGGATATTTAAAATCGTGCATACGAGAGTTATAGTTGTGATTAATATATTTATACAGATTTAATATTAGTACAAAAGGTATTACCAAAATACGGGTTTATGAAAAATGTTTAAAGAAAATATAGAATATAATCAATATCAAAATATGAATAAAAAAAATCTGTATTGGGTAAATTAAAAATGAAAATATTGTGTTTCCCAGTGAACAATACTAGCTCTGTCTTACTAGCATTCAAGTTTTGTCCGCACGATACGGCCCAACGATGTATGTATGTAATTTAATATTATTTGCATAAGGTTAGCGAGAGTGTTCGGTGTACTTCTATTAGCTTTGCCCGTGTTTTTAATAGAAATGAAGAATGACTAATTGGTCTGAAATCCCTTGGGTTAGTGTATGAGCTTTTACCCGCTCTTGGTATATATATCACCTTGACCCTCCTCCATAATGAGAGAATGTAATTTAATTGCAATGCTCCTTTTAGTATGGTCGTTAACCAGGTTATTATGTAGCTCTGATATTGCTGTAACTGAGCCGGGAATATGGCCTCTGGTTACGTTGATTTGATTATATGTCTTTAAGAGGTTGTACTACCCACTCCTCTTCTCCTTGGGAGAGTTTAGCTAAATTAAATTGCTTCCTGCAATCCTTTTGTAAGTTCTTAAGTACGGAAGATCACCAGGTATATTTGCCCTAATTCTACCCCTACTACGTGTTATTGGACAAGCCATCTCTAATGCTTGTCGTTACCTTATCTACATCCTCTTCTATTGAGCATTCAATGTAGCGGTGGTCCGAAAAGGAGTGTTCTTTAAGAACTCTCCATTGGGTTAATCTATTTATCAGTTCTTTCGACACAAGTGTAATATCTAATACTTCTTGTCGGTTTCTTGTAATAAACGAGGGTATACTTCCTCCAAAACAGAAGTTTAGTTCCTAGCAAGTAATTACAGAGACACTCACCTCTATCATTGACGTCTGTGCTGCCCCAGATTGTGTGGTGCTCGTTTGAGTCACATACAAGTATAATCATGCACTTGGGTGCCTCGCTGTCCCGTACCAACTCTTTTACCAGCTGAGATGGTACTTGCTCGTCATCGTATGACATATAACCTAACACCAGCCCGTAGCAACTTCCGCTTGTCTCCCAGCTTACTACTGCTGTGTCATGGGTGCTATAATGGTGTAACATAAAAACGTTAAGGTTTTTCTTTGCCATTATACATGCCCTGACGTTTCCTTCACAATTTGTCATATATAGCTTATAATTCGGTGTCCTCAGTTCGCAAATGCGCCCTCCACTAACCCATGGCTCCAGAATGAGGACAAACTCACGCTGTTCTATTGCTACGCAGTTATTTGGCTAGTTTGCTGTGATGTAGATTAATTTTTAAATGATGCATTAACAATTGTTTTATCTGCGTCTTCCTGAGAGTCGCTCAAGAGCTCTCTCTCAGACTCGGAAGAAAACACACCTTGTTCTAAACTATCGATATCACTCGAGGACGGAGGTAAGCAGTATCGGCGTCCGACTTGTAGGTCGTTATTCTTATCCCTCTCTTCCCCTCCACTTTTCGCCAGCGGTTCGATGGATTACAGAATCTGCATCTGGTCTCCATGTCAGATTCGCGGTCCTCGAAGGCCTTAACATATTTGCACCCCTTCGGAGGCAGATTCGGATTGCAAGCTCTTATGAGCTGCATAATCTAGTCCGACTGGTCCTTGGTCTGGACGGGATGTAATTTTTGTCCACCGCTGCCAATTTGGCTCCGAGATATAGCGGCAGACCCCGCCACCTCCAGCGTCACATTTGTCAGCGCAGCTTGCACCCATTTCCATTGGGCTCTGGGGATTTTTCCATCGATATCTCTCTCATCCAGCACGCCAATGATAATGTGGTTCCGGGCCACATCAGCAAATGATTTTGCGGGCGTCACGCCCTTAGTTTTCAGTCTTTTGGTTTTAAATCTGTCAAGACTGCAGGATGGACTCCGTGAGCTCTTTCGGTAGCTCCTCCTTGGTTAGCTGTTGCAGCTGCACTTTTCTTAGCAGGAAGGCAACACGTTGCTTTTCCGAATACCTTGCTTTCTTTGGGTCTTTAACCTTAAATCTTGACCATTTTCTGGCAGATGCACATTTATAAGCTGCACTTTTGGCATCTCCCCTCTTTTCATGCTTAGCAGCCACGCTTTGGCTACAGTGTTTGGTACTGGCTGCATCTAGTGTTGTTGCTTTGCCGGAGCTAGCCTTAGCTACATCTCCCTTGCTTGAGACTACCTTTGCGTCCTGACCAAGCTTCGCTCCTGTCAGTGCACTAGCTGTTCTCGAGCTCGTTTTTAACGCTGCTCTCTTCGAGGAGCTAATAGCTCCTTCCGGATTTTTTACCATAGATCCGGACTCTTTTAAATCCGCTTACCGCTACGCAAGTAAGGCTGCCTTATTACGTAGGGCGCGAGTTAGTTATAAGGCCCAGCTAGGTTGATCCTCGGTACGGGTCACATGATACCTTGATTCAGCCCTTGTTGTATCCCCTACCATAGTAAGACTCTCTACCTGGTTGCTGTGCTATTGAGGTGCAACCAACACCCAGGTAGTAAGTCTGACCTTAGCTAGATACCTCACCATATCAGCGGTGAACTGTTACCAGCTCGTCCATGTCTGCGTTGTGCTACTGTGGTATCTATTACCAGTCGACACCCTTGGGGAGGGTTCAGCGGGGGATTTTCTGTGGATAAAATCGGATATAAATAATTTTCTACAAAAAATTCGTCTAAATACATTTACGTTATTAAAAAAATATAGTTAATTTTACCAAAATCTCAGACTGCCGCAATCAAATAATATTCATAAGTAAGTATATTTCAAATCGATTCGCCTACGCGCTAGAGAGTAGTGAATAGAGGAAACTATAGCAGTTGTTCAAACGAACTGGAGGCGCGAAATGGTTTTACTTCATTCTCATCTTTCCACGACCTATTAGTAACTTCTTAGTTTCGAGCCTTACGTATTTTATAAATAAATATAATCTATTTCAAGTTTTACGTTTTATAATTCAATTAAAAAAGTTTGTATTTTCATTTTTGAGAATAAGTAGTTTTAATTTTCAATTGAAAATTAAAAAACATTTAATAATTGGGAGCTAATACATTTATTCTTTTGATTAAGTATTGAATGTTCACAAATAGTTGTTTTAATATATCACAAAATCACCAACAAGAATTTAAATATATATGTATAATATAATAATTTTTAATCTTAAGAAATGTTGGGTGTTTTAATTTAAATGCCCAACATATTTTATTTTGACTGATCTACAATGCAAAATGTTATAAAAAATGCAAATTTTGAGGCGGTCTCACACTGGAATAAGTTGGGCATACCTTTATCCCTGACTAATAACTTCTAAAACATGTTCGATAGAGGTAGATACCATTTTAAATGTGTTTGAAATTGGTATGTACGAAAATAATTCAACATACATCTTTGTGTACATATGTCTAGTTAACTTTTCGACTTCCCGTTTGTTTTACTTTACTTATTATTGTAGAAAAATAGAACACCTGTTCAAATTTTTTTTCTCCAACTCCGGTATGGTTTTAATGGGTATTTAACGCAACATGTCACAAATAATAAGCAAGACAAGTAAGAAATTAATTATTGAAAAATTGTACCGTAGTTTGCAACTATCCTTGATTCCGTTTTATAAAACAGTTTTCAAAATTACTTTTTAAAGTTCGGACGTAACGGAATCCAGTAATGTCGTCACTAACGAATTTGTTATAAATGCGGCGAGGTTGATCTTGTGCTTTAGAACATGATTAAAATGACTCGCATCCTGGGCTTTTGTGTTCTTAAGTTTTTCCATTGTTACGTTGTCCCATGCAGTCTTAATAAAATAAACAGCCTCAAAAAACGGCAAATGTTTTGAAAATTGAAACGTCTTCTACTCTAGTCAATATACGATATGTTTGATAAATTTGCATCTGTAGTGACATTACAGTAGCTGACAAACAG